GCCCCCCCTCAAAACCCATCTGGAGACTCACCATCAGCATAAAGAGAAAAAGTTGGAGGGCAGAGAAGTCATTGTTACAAGAGATTTTTAAAATTTTTTTTTGTGATCCTAAAATACTCCGTGTTCACTGGATAGATAGGATAAGATAAAAAAAATATATATGTGTATATACACAGATATATTCAGATGTTGCAATTGTCTATTCATCAACATATCCTGTCATGGAATACTAGGACAAGAACTGTGTCATATTTCAGGTGAGTCAAACAAATTTTCACCGAGTCATGGCAATTAAAACTTCATGTTGTTGTTGTTGCTGTTGGTACTAATGTGTTATCAAGTTCATTTGTCACCCTTAACAAAATAAATCATGCATGCGGGAGATTAGAGTTCAATCTGGATGGTAAAGCAGTAAAAAGAGCAGTGGACTTTTGAATTTCAGTGTCTTCCTTCACTGTTTCAGTGATAAGAACCTGTAGATCTGAGCTGATCACACAGACTCTGAGGAGTTTAAGTCATTCATCCAAAGTTCTCATGAAACCAGAGCAGAAATCAAAGTTATACATTATCTTGCTAAATAAACTCAAGACAAGTTTCCTGTTGTCTTTGTCCACTGGTCTCTTTTCTGTCTCTCTCAGATATTTTACTTTTTTCACAACTTGTGAAGCAGCCCATCAGGAAAAGTCCTGCGTCTCCCAATGGCCACTCTGTTGCCATTTAACAAAGTTCTGCAGTTTTGTATAAAACTAGTATAAACAGAAGAAGGTACATCTGTAGTTTTGGCTTTTCATCAATCATTTTCTCTTTTTGAATTTTAAAAACATGCTTTAAATTAAAACCATCAAAAATTAAACTAACATGGTTTGTGGTGGAGTTAGGGGCATAGAAGATGGTATCATCAGCATATAAGAACACCTCAGTGCTGATTTGGGAAATAAACATGTGTATAGAGTAAAAAACAGTGTGCCTAATACTGATCCTTGAGCAACACCTTTATTAAAAGCCTTCAGTAAACTGCATTAATAAAAACACATTTTAAGATTATGGCAGTTAAAACAGTAGGAAATTAAGACTAAATGAAAGCTGTACAAACCAAATTATTTGGCATAAATCACACAATTTATTTGATATTTCTTATACATACATCAGGTTTGTCTCATCATTGTAACATTTTATACCAGTGTCCAATTTCAGCACATCTTAGAAAGATAAAAACAAAGTGTGGTGTGTAAGTGATGTCATTCCTTATATACCAAAGCAAAAAAAACAAAACAAAATCTAAATTTCCTGAACACAAATCATCAGTTAACACCTGTGACTTCATCTTTGAACACTACTGCTTCTTCTCCCCCTGGTGGAATTAAATTTCCTTTTTTGTGTTTTCATATAAATCTGCAAGTGATGCCAACAATACCCTGTGCCTTAACTAAACACTGACACTGCAATAACATAATTATAGTAACATATTAATAACCAAAAGAGAATGGTGATTTACTGGTGAGTCATTTTGGCCAAAAATCAATGAAGAACTTCCAGAACCAAACATTTCAGCTTGACATAAATTTGTCATTCATGTCAGTGTGAACATCGTGATTCTACTTTAGTCCTGTCCAGTGTAAAACATTGGCATACACAAGTAGAACATGCAATATAGGTCAAATAAAGGAATTAAGAATAAAGGAACCACCAATCTGGGTTAAAAGGGCTTAAAGGAAACCAATAATAATGAGAGGTGGAGGGAAAGCATCAATATCACAATATAAAAAGTAAACAAAACAAAATAGAACTGATAAAATTCACATAATTAACTCCTTGCTTTATGAAAATATGATTTAACTGGAAAGAGTCAGAATGGCCTTTAAAAATCTGTTCTATAGTTTACATTCTATCATACGAGACTCTTCTCACATGCTGCTCTGTGATGATGGAGGTCATGTTTCAACTGATTTTCCCTTTTACACATGTAGTTAAAATTCCTATCAAACAAACTTAGTGCCAACAGCAAACCAGAAAAAAGATCTGTAAAATTAGCCAACTCAGTTCATATGGATACTGCTAAAGATTAAGCAAAGAGAGAGCAATTTACATCGATTACCAGAACCTATACATCACCAAACCAAAGCAAGCCTGTGTCTGAGCTTTAATAAATGGCAATTCTGAACATACATGAGTAAGAAGCAGATATGTGATATACTGGTCATCGTGCCAAAAGGCTTAAACATCACAATAGCTCAAGAGTCCTCAATATGTGCAATATTCAAATGAAAAACTCACTACATGATAACTGGAAGTTTCACATATTTGACCAGCCCATTAAAAATCAATCAACTGGAACAAGTGGCTCCTCTGAAAACCATTTCTATTTAAAAGGTACTGATCTAAAAAACCTCTGAGTAATAAAACATGCTGTGGGTGAGAATATCCCGCAATGAACACCACACACTCTCACTACAAAATGATATTGTCAGTATTTGAAGTTTTCTCCCTCATTTTGTTTTTTTTTTCCCCCACATGTACAATAATCTTCAGTCCAGCAGCGACAATATGTAAACAACACACTGAGAGGGCGGAGCTCTAGCTATCATGGGCAGGGATTGGATGGACACTTGGCGGGTGGGGTCTTGTCAGCTGACTGCTGTAGGCTGGAGGGTGTTTGTCGTCGAATATCGTCCTCTCAACTGGAACACAGATTACATCTGGATTAATGATCAGATAAAACCCTTCCAGAAAATACACACAACATTTTATTGAATCTTATATCCCTTTACTTTTATTTTGCTTGATATCTTTTTAAGAAACTGTAATCATTTTCCCCATGGTTATGAAAGTTTCACTTTCACAGTAACAGTAGTGTAAGGGGTGCACATGTAATGAAATGATTGGTTGAAGATAAAATGTATGAAAGGCCAGAGAAGTCATTGTTACAACTGATTTTTCTTTTATTTAAGATCCCAAAATAAGATGCATTATAATGTTTTTATAATGTTCACCGGATGGACCTTGTACAAGGAGGAACTGTGTAATATTTCAGGTGAGTCAAACTCATTTTCACTGAGTTATGGCAATTTAAACTTTTATTGTTACTGTTGTTATTAGTTATAATGTGTTTACAAGTTCATTAGTTTTACGTAAATTCTCGAATAAACACAGGCATTTAAACAATATCCAACTTTCCATTTCCACCTGGTGTTATCATGGATCTGTATCTGAATGTATACGGGTATTATCTGGAAAATGACAACTACTCCACAAACCTTTGCATTTACCCATGGTAATACCAATAAGACTAATAAATAAGTTATTTCAATCCTGCCTTCACCCTTCCAGATGTGGTTAATCACAACATGCTGTGCATTTACTTATCCAGACACATGACTGCATGTTAATGCCAGGAGTAAAGGGAACAGAGGGTCAGCATTAAGAAGGGGGTTGTTGGATACGTCACATATTAAACATAATATAATGTACATTTCTCCATCACTGTTTACATCAGTCCTTCCTGTACCAGTACACTGCTGTCACTCTCGCTCACTTTCCTGCTTTCTGAGGTATGATCAGCAGTGACACTTCCTGCAATGTTTCAAACTGAAAACCAATGGCTGTCTATAAAGATGGATGACATCACAGCTCGATCTCCCCCCCCTGGTGGCTGACTGGAGTATAGGTCATAAGCCCCGCCCCCCCCTCCGTGTTAGGGGATGGGCCAAGCTAACAAAAAGTGCAAGTCCAATACATTTTAGGTCGTTCTCATCACGCTGATGTTTGTAGTAAGTGTTCATCTTTCTGATTAGTTTGGTTAATGGTTTCTTCATGGTTATGGTATGGTGACGGCAGACGTTTGGCCTTGTGGATCTTGTGTTTATCAGTTCATCTAGGTGCCTATCATTCACTATCATTCACTATTTTAATTGTTCTTTTTGTTTGGTTTTGTACAGTCATGTTTTCAGACTCTCTCTCCATCTCCCTACACAGTCTAATTCATTTGACAAAAAAGAGACAAAACACAATAAACACAGTTCAGTACAAATCTGACTCATAGCATTATTATTTTATCGTGAATATAATTATAATACGTTATCGTGAATTCCTGATATCGTAAAATCTGATATCATGACTGAACCAAGGAAGGTTTCACAGTTCAGTCTTTACAAATAAAAAGGGTAAAGTACGTTATACAATGCCACATGGTGGCGCTATCCTCACAAAAAGCTCTTCATGACTCCTTCGTGTTGAGCAGTTTTTGAGGTGTCCTGCTAACTACTACACAAACAGAACAAACAGCCTACAAATGTTGTAAACACGTGTTTCTGGAGGTTTGTCAGATGAAAAAAAAGAGGCTTTCACCCTCCAGTGATGAACTCACTTGGTGGGCACGGTGGGCGAGCCGGAGCGGTGGAAGTGGATGTTCTGCCACTTGCTGTCGCGGCGGTGCCAGATGCGGGTTTCCTCTGACTGCATGGTGCGAGGCATGCCGTTGCTGTCGATGTACTGGGTGAGGCGGATGTAGGCGATGCAGGCGGCCTCGTCCCCGATCAGGTGGACGTGGGGGTTGAGCAGGATGGTGTGGATCGGCTGTTTCCCCTTAGACAGAGCTGCAGAGGACGAGACATGCAAGGATGGTGAGGAAACTGAGGAGACTGAAGAAGAGTTGGAAACCTTACTGTGATGGCTCCTAACTCAGCACTCTACATCAGCAGGGGCTCAACACAACAGTGAGTGAGGGGCACAGGTCGTCTCAATTCTTTACAAAAGAAAATCTCAGGGATCCATATCAAGATTGTCTGTTTATGTTTTTATGTTACAACAGGCTCATAATCTGAAATACATCAACATCAGTATCAGCCTGGAGAATCCACTGTGGGCCAGACAACAAACAGAACTGTCACTCACCATACCAAGTGTAGTTGTGTGTATTCAGGTTTCCTGTGCAACAAGGATTATCATCATCATCATCTCAGGTGCACTCACTGTCACTAATAATAATAATATTGAAAGCTCACCATACAAATGTGTTCCTTTATTCTCATTATATACAGTGTTTTCATCAGTTAGTGCTCATCAAACAAGCTGAGCTAGTGTAGATAACAAATGGATGTCACAGTTCATAATCTACACATTTAATCTAATGATCATAGAAATGTTCAACAGATTCACCCATGATGCAGAAAACCTGCAGCTGTAAATGAAAGGCTTTGTCTTCTAGATGATCTGAACTTCACCCCTGCATCAGACCTGATCCTGATCAGTGTCAGAGCAGCCAACACTACACAACTGTTACCTCTGCTGCTTTGTTGTTTTCAGTCCCAGTGATTTCTTGTTGTTGTGCGTTTCATATTATTTTAATAATAATAATAATAATAATAATAATAATAATAATAGGTGGTGGATTTTTTGATGTTCAATATTACATAATAATTCCATTAAATACAATGAAAACAAAGTTAGGATGACTGTGCAGCCCTGAATACACAAATAAAATCTCCCTGTGTAGGTTGAGTTGTTTCCCCTGAAGGCCAACATATTTTTCACTGCTTGTATATGAACATTTGTTTTCTCTTCACTTACTTATTTCACTTACTCCACCTGCAGCACTTTTAGTTATATTTAACAATACAGACAGGTTTGGGTTTAGCTTGTCTTTTTGAATGTCATGGTTTTCATACAGTGAGGACCACTAATTAAATGCCATTTGCTCTTACTGTGGCTGCGTCCACACCGCTATGTTTTAATTTTAAATCTAAATTGATCTCTGTCCAGACGATTGTTTTACTAACACCTGAAAACACACACATACGTGACCATTCATGTACACTGAGCATGTGTGAGCCGGTGTAAACAGGAAGTAGATAGTCTCCTCTGAAGGAGGACCAGCAAAGACAGTTGTAGCATTAAAACAGAGAATGTAAGTGAACAACACGGTCAGTAACTGTCACTCATTATCATGTTGTATTCACCACTGGTTGACCAGGTTGATGGGAGACCGTGGGTGACATTGTTTTCAAAGGTCTCAGTTTCTGTCAGTCCAGACTACAACACAACCCAAGAGTTTTCAAAATAAAACACAACCCCAGAGTTTTCAAAATAAAACACACACAACTTAATAGAGTGAATGTAGCCTGTATTGAGGTGGAGGATATATAGAGAAAACTGCCTCTGTGAATAAAAAAATATAAAAAACTACAAGCTTGTCCTATTCTTTTGCATTATTGTCCCAATCTAAAATATACACCTTGTTTGTGACAACTTTACAGCTTCATCACACTGAGACAGAAACTCTTTACCGTTCTCAAAGTAGAAGCGGTGGAAGTCGGTGCCCTCCACCAAGTTTCCCAAGGCCTCAGGCTCAAAGGAGGTGAGGCCAGGATCACATATCTTCCTGAAACAGGACACGCAGAGAGCAGGTTACATTTAAAAGATCTGCTATTACATGTGTAAGTGTGTCAGATATTTGAGGTGATAGTAAATGAAAGCAGTTGAACTAACGTGTACGCCTCAAAGTCTCCGTTGTTGATGGCTTCAATCAGCTGCTCAGTGACTTTAATGATCTCCTGCTTACGAGCTGAGAGACACAGACAACGTTAGATTAGATCTGCAAACAGAACCCCAGAGACACGTCAAAAGAAGCACAAATTAAGGTTTGTGAAAAGGACCAATGTGGAACATGGGGACGACATCGATCCCACATCACAACATCAGGACATTCAGGAGTCACATCATTTCCAAAACCACAAATAATACACTGTGGCATAGATGAATGAAGGAGAGAGTTGTAGGAAAGTTAGTCAGCGTGGTTCAACATATGACAACATCAAAGTTACCTTTCATGCTAAGTAGGTAAGCTAGGAGACAATGAATGGAAAGAATAAGTGCTCTTGTTGTGGATAAAAGTACAACATGGGGATGATTGGTGACACACACACACACACACCAAACTAAATCCATTTTTACCTTCCACAGCTTCAAGTCCTGTGTTGTTCCCAGACACCTGAACACTCACAGTCTGCTGCTGACTGAGCTGAGCACTCATTCCCTCCACTGACACCAGGACCAGAACTACAACTGCTGGAAGGCGACACATGTTCCTGCTACACTAACCCTCTGTGTTCAGGACCAGAAGCTCCAGCTCCAGCAGACCAGTTATACAGCAGCAGAAGAAGAAGACACTATACACCTTCTGACAAAAACCAGAATACCCTGCTCTGATTGGTTGGTTCAGTAGAAGGCCTGATGCAGCTGAAACACTCATGGTGGACTTTACTTTGCAAAAAGCAAACACTGCTGATTAGCTCTACAGACTAGTCTAGATAAGTAGTCTGGGGTTCAGGGACATTAATGCACCACCTATGTACAACCCGAGCTACAGCACAGTATTGACTAGCCAACACTAGACTGGTTGTCTATAGGAAGGTATCACAATTATACTGCACCTGCTTCAAATAACACATAAAACTCTCACACACAGTCGGTCTAAATACATTCAGCTTCATGTAAGAACTCAGATCAAACATGTTTCAACAGCTCATTAAAAACAGCTAAATCAATATTTTCTCCTATTCAATCAGGGTGATTCCACTTTATTCAAAGATGTGATGACATTTGTTTTATCAAAGCTCCGCTGCCATCAACTTCAACCACTTTTAATACAAACATGTCCAGGGAAACACCCTTTGTTCTCCGTCACTAACCTACTGTATATCATTCTCTAATCCATCTCCATCACCTCTTGTCTAAGTCATCACCCACTGTGATGGTACAGCTCTGATCTGAGGTAAGGTAACATTTTCTCATTGTTTTGGTCAGCTCATGATTGGAGTGCAGCAGGGATGATGTATTTTTGTAGTCTAACCCTGAAGTTAACATCACCCTGGTTCCCTCCACTAAAAGCCAATTGTCTTCTGGATTATTAGATCAATTAAACAGCAGTTTCTGATCCTGAGGTTTAGTTCAGCAGGATCATCTTCACTAACGAACACCACTTTATGATGTTTGAAGCCTCAATACAATCAGCAGAAGTAAAAAGCTAATGTTAGGCTATAACCACACCACAGTCACATGACTTCAACGCTTGTGTGAACTACAGACCTTATTTCAGTCATCTAAGAAAAAGCCCAGTCCACGAACCTGAGATTGCAGGAGCAGGGAACAGGAGGAGCTAAAATGCAACTCATTTCTGGATTTTAGGACTCATTCCATTTTTGTGAATGAAACCTTGCCACAAATTGAATAGAACAGGTGCTAATGATCAAATCTCACCAACGCACATCTACTGATGAACAGGTGTCCAAACAGCTGATCTACGACATGCTTGTGCAGTTAAGAGAAACTGACTTGAAACACTCATACCCTCAAAGAAAACGTGAGAGAGGTTTAGGATAAGAACACGAAACTAATCTCACATCGAGTTTTCATGACAGGCCGATGTGGCTCAGCCCAAAAGGAAGTTATTATCACTGAAGAATGTTTGATATGTCATCTAGAAACTGAGAAATACATTATTAGTCTACCACAGCAACTAGCAAGTATGTACATCAAATTTCAAGTAAAGTACAAAGTTAACAAACTCACCTAAATTCACTTACACTCATTTGTCACATAGACGTTACTACAGTTTCTAATTTAAAGGCTTCAATTCTACTTGTTGTGAAATTTGTTTTTATATCGGAAGGAGCTCAAGCTCACAGCTTCCTCCTGGGAACTTACACTGGGAGTCGTTAGGCAGGGACACCCCAAGCCGGGGGCCAGGCCCCTGGGTGGGGGTGTGATGGGGGCCGCAGTGGCATATTGTAGGATGGTCAGAGAAAAAGACCAGAAAGGAAGATGTGAAGAAGAGGAGCAGGTAGGCGGCCACCAGTGCCCACAGGATGTACTGGCAGCACTCCTCACCACTGGGCCAAATGGTAAGAGAGTACCAGCAGGAGGAGGAGGAGGAGGAGGAGGAGGAGGAAGAGGAGGCAGAGGGGGAGCGGTCTAAGTGAAAGGTGGAGTGGTGTAAGTGCTTCAGATGGTAGATCTGGGAGGTGGAGGAGGGACAGTGTGCTGAGATGAATGGCAAAACAGGAGTGACAAGAAAAAAGAAAACGGAGAAAAAGAAAACATGAAATGAAGAACACATGAAAAGCAGGAAGTGTCAATTTGTTCAGAGCAATCCCTTCTTTCAGCAGCTGAGAACAAATCAGTTTGGACAGAGTGAAAATGTTCAGGTGAGCAGAGCAACAGTGATGACAGGTGAGTGTTGATGACACAGCCTCACAGAGCAGCATTAAATGACCAGTCCAACAGTTAGGAAAGTCACGAGAAGATTTATAGAGGGAGGGGGGTGGGGTCTATAGTGTGCTCAGACTGACAACTTTAACAGCTGATGAATAAAGTTTAGTTATATCCCTTATCATCACCACTATTAAATCATTAATTTGGTTTGAAAAGTCTGAAAAGTTGGTTAAATTAGCAACAAAGGTGCAAAGTGACAATATTGATGGTTCACACCAAATCATTTTGAAAGAGCAACGACCAGCGGTGTAACCTTATCACTCAGTCATGGACCTAATGGTGACAGATCTGCTCATAGGACCGGCCCTGTTGTTGCATCTTCAGCATATCTGCACCTGTCCTGCACCAAACAACAGCTCCTCTCTATAAAAGGACATCACTGCCTCCAACCAGGTTCCCAAAGAGAAGACCCACTTTACTTAACCCATTTAGTGTGGAGGGAATGAGACGCCAACCATCCATCATACATGTAGATGCAAATGAATCATATTCATATAGTATTTGCCCTCATTGAAATTCCTGCACTTTTATATTCCCACCTCCTGTGACGGATCGCTTCTCCACAAAGAAACCACCGTGAAAATCACAAAAGGCGTCATGATTAAAATCTTCCCCTGGTATCATAAAGATTTCTAAGCTTCTTTGAAGTCTGGAGGTCTGATTGAGAGCACAAACGGAAGACACAAGAACAGCTGTATTCAATATGTTGTGAAAGAATAAGAGAGAGAAATGATGAGGGAAAAAACCTGTTACTGAACACTAACATAAGCATTTTCAAAGCTTCACTGAATGAGGACATGAAGCATTGAGGAATTACGACCCCATCACCCATGAATAATAATGGAGGCCATTGTAAAGGGCAGTGGCATGTCCCATAATGGGCCAGTGTGTGTGCTGGAAGAATGGACGCACATACAGTATGTTGGCACACACATTCTGCAGGGGAGGGGATGGATGTGAGGAGCCCCAGGAATGAGACACAGCTTTGTAAGATGTTAATAATGCTGAAAAATTCAAATCTAATTTGTCCGACAGATTCTCTGTTCTATCAAAGGTCAACAATCAGAGAGCATGGAGAGAAAGACACAAAATCACAAATCAATTACACAGATGTCTACAATGTTCACCTCAGTGAACAGAAGCACAAAGGTCCTTCCCCTTCATTCTGTTCATTTTCCCTTCTCTCTCGTTGTGTCATGTCTTGCTGTCAAACTGTAATTTGACTAATGATGATTGAAACTTGTGCTCTCTGCAGATTGTTTGCTAATCAGCATTAATCTAACTATCTGACTGTTTTTTGTTTTTTTTAGCAGTTTACCATACAGGGTATCAGAAAGTATCTAACAGTAAGTTAGTATCTCACAACACAGTCACAAATATAAGTTTGAAATTCTTGTGAATACAAAGGGTTGTGTTCAGGTGTCCAGAGACTCCCAGAACTCTGTTTATTGGATTTACATTCAAAAGTGAGTTAAGTCAAGGCTGGAATATTAAGTGGGCAAAATGGGTTCCTGCCCTGTAAGCCTGGGCCATACAAAAATGTAATATCTTGATACAGACCAGCCCAAATATCACATACACTGTAGTACATGTAGCATATGGTTGAAAAATATCACAATATATTATATCATTCTGCATATGGCAGAAAAATGTAGTATCGGCCGAAGCTTACTCCGCTGGTGACCCAAATACGGCTAATATGGGTGCATTCAGGTACATGGGGGTCTGGGGCCCCAGAGCACCCACATATACACTCTGCCTGTTAGTTGACCTCATTCCCCACTCTTCTGTAGAGGACATGATGTTTTCTTGTGGGAGGCGATGAGGTCAAAATGGCTGCTCAACTAAATTACCACAAACAGGGGTCAATATGTCAGGCCATGGTTTAGTACATGATATTTGCCATGACATGCAAAGTAAAGCAATATGGACCATGAGAAATGAAACATGTTGAAACTAAAAGACAATTAATAATACAACATGCAATACATTCATGCAATGGACACAACCATAGAGGGGTGCTGTAAAACACATGGTTATCCCAAACCCAGCAATAACATGAGCCAGTCGACCAGAGAGGAAGAAGAAAGGTGACCTGACAGTCAATGCCTGTTTAAAGGTTTAGAGGACAGACTTGGTCCTGCGAACAGAAGGATGGTTTGTTTTTGTCAGTGTGAACCTCCCTACCTCTCACGTCCTCGTCCTCGATGGTAGTGTTGGCACTCTCACTGGACTCCTGTGAAACCACAAATAAAAAGAGCTGTGAGTGTAACCAGACCGACAGGACAGCTCAAACAAGCAGAGGACGCAGGACGTCTGAGTTCAGTCTGCTCAGTGTTCATTCACATCCCAGCTGCTTCAGACCCTTTCACATGTTAATCTGGGATTAGACTCTCAACACAATCTCTAGGAAAAACAACTACATGAAGTACAGTAGGTCAAAGATGGTCATGTTTCAGGAAAGTCGCCCTGAGAAATTCACTTGGTGAATACCATATAAAACTTGTTCAGTGTAGTTCAAAATTGTACTTTTACTAAAGATAATGAAGTTAAAAACGTTGACAGGAATTTAACAGAACTTTCATCCCTTTGATGCAAAAGGAAATCCATGTTGCATGACATATTACTTCTTTGTAGATGAACATATATCTGTCTATATATATAAGTATATAAACAGTAGATTGTTTATATATTGTATTCGTGATGAATTCAGCAAACAGCTAAACAGTCTCTATATATTAATATTTTACAACATTCTTACTACACACAGAAACACTGTTATACTATGAGCTACGACACCATCATGTCACTGCACAAAGCAAAGAATACAAGCATGCACATATGTTCCTTCTTATGGATTACACATTATCATGTCGATCCATACATCTGCACAAGCAAGTCACCCAGACACAGTAGATGGACTCCAGGGTATTCTGTTAAGGATTTGGCTTGGAACAGCTTTAGTATCCATGGTATTGCACGCTCTTTATTATGTTGCAACAGCATGCGTAATCCCTTTGTCACACCACTGTACAACTGACTATGATGTTATCATGACAATGGCAGCACATGCTTCTCACACGTTGCTCTCAGGCTTATGAGATGACACAAACTCTCTCATTTTTTATCTTCTGAGATCTTTTATGGCATGTTATCCAGAATGAACAATACACAGAGTTGTAAACATAGATGTGCAACATGAAGTTAAAGAAAGACATGCAACAGTTTATATCAGCATGCATTATTTGACAGAATCCATGATCCCTTTGCTTTCTCGCTTAACATGTGGAGTGTGGAGAACATCCACTGGCACACAAACATTTCAGAAGCAACATTGAGGCTCTACTCTAAATGGCGCAGGCGTCAGCAGCAAACTACAGCCTCAGGCTAGCATCTGATCAGCTGTATACCTTGTTTCCATCAGCAGGGTTGTGGATAACTGTGGTTTGAGGCTCCTGATTAGAGAGGATGAACAGTAGAAAGAGACGTCGGTGCAGAAAAGAAGTGAGTCAGGAGGAAAGTTTGACAGAAAAGCATTTTGCAAGAAAGAAAAAGAAAAAAGAAAGAAAAGTGGTGATGGAAGTATGGGGAATTGACAGATTTGACACTTGAGGGAAATGAAGTTGGTGCTAAAAACTGAATCACAACAGCATCACTACAGAACTCTTGTTAACAGATGGGAAAATATGGCAGTGGAAGCTGTGACAATTCCCTGAACATCAGGTAAAGAATATCAAGTCTTATACCACAGATTTTCCCCAGTACTGACAACAAGATGACAATAACTGACACCAACCACAGACACCGTACAGACATGAAAGTCTGTTAGTAGTAAAACACAAACATTTTGTCTCCAGCTTAAACACCCAGGACAGGTTCAGATGTACCACACAAACAGTCCATCAAACATAGACCTGTATGTATTATTAAAGGAATCTGAAAGGAAACAGAAGTTCACTGTCAGGATCAACCTCCCACTCACAAGTACAGAGCATGCTATTGCTGTACACTGGTGCTGTATCACTGCGTCCCAGCTGACATGACTGACATGATGTAACACTGACTAAAACCCCTGAAGGATGAGGTTGTTATTTCCAGATGAACTCTCTCAGGCCTGTTCACACCTGGTGTTAACACGAGACTCATGTGATCTGATCACCAGTGGTCAGCTCTAAGTTCAGGCGTGAACGCACCCAAGACACACTGCTGACGCATTTGACCACATCCAGAGGTGGTCTAGATCACATGGGTCCACATTCTTTTAACAGTGTGAACGCAAATGTGTCATGGTTCACATTGAAGGACCGCCTACTCTACTGACGTCCTCTGTCATGGTCTAAAGCGAGCAACACACTGGATGCGTTGCGTGAGCGCGGCGGCTGCAGAATGTCTTGGTTTTCATTTCGGTGCACGTTAACAGGTTAGAGCGACACACTGCCTGTGTGAGATGCATGGCTCACACCTCGCGGCTCGGCGCGTGATCTAGTGATTCGCATCTCACCTATTTTTCACATGTGACGCGTCTCCCAGTGAAAACAGACAGTGAAAAGACCTATTGATGTCATAGTGACATTATACCAGCAACATCACATACGACTGACACCTTCCACTGTGGTTGTCTCTGTTTAGTCTGAATCTGAATATGACACAGACTTGAAAAATATGAAAATATTTTTTAACCATTTCAGCAGATGCATGTGGAGACAGAGATATTTAAGTGACTTTTTCTGCCAAAAATAAATCAGAAATGAATTAATAATGAAGAGAAATCCAACATTCCAGTGACCTGTAAACTCTATGTAGAGAGACAGCTGCAGCAGCAGAGACGCAGCCGGTGTGAACACACAGACACACACAGACACACACAGACACACACAGACACACACACACACGCGCGCTTCTCTGCAGCAGCTCAGCGATGTCAGCCGCTACACTCACGCAAAACAGGCAGTATGTTCCCAGGGTAATTTCTGCCACCAGTTTCCTAATAAGCCAGAAATATTTTACTACTTCTCAATGGCTAAAATCTCATTTCATTAGAGCTGTGAGCAGCGCACGGATTTTGTGTTTTGAGATCATTTGCATATAAAGCAGCCAGGTGTGAACAGTTGTACTTAGAGCTGACCACTTCTGATTGAATCAACAAAGACTAATGATAATGCAGGTCTGGACAGGGCCAAGGTTAAAATGGATATGAATCAGTGGTACAGACCTAAATCCTTAAAGGAAAAGTTCAACATTTTGGGATATACACTTTTTTCATTCTTTCCAACGGCGAGAGAAGAAAATTTATATTAATCTTCTGTCTCTGTGTCACGTACAGAGCTGGAGTTGTGGTATAGTTAGCCCCCTCCACACCAACAAACATCTCTGAAGATCACTAACTAGCCTGGTGTTCCATCTGTTCACAAACAGAAATGTAGAAATGCTCATCCATAATGTTAGAGTCTCATACTATAGCACGACATCAGATACAGTCAGTGAGCACAGGTTTTGGTCTTGGTTTAACAAAGCTGCCAAACTTTATATTTCCATTTGTGTATGTCAATGACTGAGCTGTGAAAGTGTTAGTAGGCATATATTTTAACTTTGACCAGAACCATGCTAGCAGTTTCCTCCTGCTTCTAGTCTTTATGCTAAGCTAGGCTAATCACCTCCAGCTACAGCTCTGTACTTAATGCACATAAATGAGATGCACAATCTTCTCTCTCTTGTGCAAACAAAACAAACCAAAAAACGAATCAATGGATTTCCCAAAATACAAGACATCTAATCCCTAAATTTAAAATTCTGCTATATGCTATGCTAACGGTGAGTGAAAGCTACAGATTATGCTCTTTCAAAATCAAGTCATTTCACCTTCATATTCTGGGTCATTAAAGTTATTATTAAAAATTTCAAATGGATATTTACAGTGGTATGAGATACTTCAGTAACACATGGCTCTTCCAACGGTGGAACTCAAGTCTCAGGCTACGTCCATATTACTACGTTTTCATTTTAAAACAGCGTTTTCAAACATAAACTATCTCCATCCAGACGAACACACTTGGAAACACACACGTACATGACCATTCATGTACACTGGGCATGTGCGAGCCGGTGTAAACAGGAAGCAGACTGTCTACTCTGCAGTTGGTTAGTTACAGTAAATCCTCTGAAGGAGGAACAGCAAAGAGAGTTGTAGCATTAAAACAGAGAATGTAACTGAACAGCTGCTAGCAAAGACAGCAAGGTCAGTAACACTGTAATTCATTATGTTGTATTCAACACTGATAGTCCAGGCTGATGAGAGCCAATCAGGACAGACCTACAACACAACCCCAGAGTTTTCAAAATAAAACACGACCCCAGAGTTTTCAAAGTAAAACTGGTCCAGCAGAGTTTCTGAAAGTCTCCATTATCAGTGCTTGAAAAGCCCAGAGTCGTGTGGATGGAGGTGAAAATGTAGCAAAAGAGTTTCAAAACCAAAACGTGGTAGTGTGGACGTAGCCTCATTGACAAGTCAGTGTTGTCTCCAGTTTGGCTGACAACAAAGTCTTCACCTGTGGCATCAGTGCATTTGCCACAGCTGATGCAATGGCCTCAGTATTGACATTACAGCCATCATCAACAACAAAGGAGAATGCAGCCCATGTACAGCAATGTGGCAATAAAACAATCCAGATGTGAATGTGGACGGCACAACCACGGACGGCGTTTGTGGTTCTTGAGCTTTATGAAAAACAACAAAAACAATCACCACGGACAACAAAATGAGAAAGGCTCTGTGATGTCAGATGTCACAGAGTGCGGATAGATGGACAGTTACACAGAGACAGACAGTCATGCATCACACAGGCAGCAAGGCAGGCAGACAGTGTACCAGAGAAGGAGTGGGGACAGGCTCTTTGGGGCTGGTGACCACATTGGCCTTGTTGTTGATCTGAGGAACAGAGTGGACATACAGGTAGACAGACGGACAGGGCAGAAGTGACAAGCCTTAGTGTTCAGACACTAACACAAGCAGCTGCTGTGGAGGGAAAGTGGAACATTGTGCTCAGGAGTTCGTGTCAGGGAGTCAGTCAGATATGTTTGAACAGTTCAGCTTCAGGTCTAAGTTTGAACAGGGTGAGCAAATAAAACCTCGGTAATCAAACCATAAAAAAAGAGTTCATAAACCAAGCAGGAGCAGAGGCCTGTCTGTTTACAGAGTCAGATGAGGAAACAGTCTGGGGTCAAACTAATGACCCAATTACTCTGAACAAGAATAATTCATTAGGTAAAACTCTGCATGTCTCACAGTAAAGTGTTTTGTGTTTTGTAGTTGCCATGAATCCTGATGACTCCGACCTGGATAAGGCACCTGACTGACAGGATACAGTATGTAGGATCATACTGAAGCTTAGTTCATGTTTTCCTGCTAAAAACTGATTCTGTCTTTGTTCTTATTTGATCTGATGTGTTTATTGCTGAGGACAAGGATCCATGATGGAGAGTTGGAGAGGATTACATGTCATATGGCCTGAATACACCCATCATTGGTTTTTATGTTATATACACACAGTATATATTACATGTACAGTGGGGTCCAAAAGTCTGAGACCAATAGCAAAGTGGCCTCAGACTTTGGACCCCCCTGTACCTATCGTATATACACACATAAATGTTGATATAGGTCACCTTTGAGGATATTGCATGGACTTAGATTAATTTCCTGGAGATTTACTCTAACCATAATCACTGACCCAAAAATCATGATTTTAGTAATAAAGTAATGTTTACCATTTTCTATTTACCATAATCTTTAGTTTAGTGTGCATGCAGCTCAACACAAAGTAAAGCTGAGGCTGCTGGGAGTGTTATTAGTTGTGGAGGACAAACTTTGACTTGCTGGTGTCCAAAGTCATCACAGTTCATCCTGTGGCGAACATGAATGTTTGCACCAAATCTCGTGGGAATACATCCAATAACTGTAGGGTCTTTTCACTTGACCCAAACATGTCAACCTCACGGTGGCAGCAGATAAAAAGTCAGGAGATCAACACAGTCATCAGGATACACCGTGTGGGAGCCATAAACCTCCGTACCAAACACATCCATGCAGTAGACGTGAGGATGTTTGATCAGCTGGTGGCCTGAGAAGCTGCAGAGCCACAGACACAGTCAGGACTATTCCCTCAGGGATCAAAAACATCATGGGAATGCATCCATGTCCACTGAAATATCAGTATGAAAGAAAGTTTTGTCAAATTCATAGATTAGAACTACTACTGTATGTCATTAGACGTGGCCATCTGTGTCAATCAGCTGTTAATCAGAGAGTTACTGAGAGCTAGTTAAGACGCCATGTTCGAGGAATCAGCGATGATTATGAAGCTTTAGTTCTATTTTACCCATTACTCCTGTTTAAGACGGTAAAATAGAATTTGAAATACCAGTAGTCCGTATGCTGTGTAGTTGAACATGTACTTTGTCACTATGTATTCAATGGCGTCAAAAATCTCTTAAAAACTTTTCAAAAGAAAAAAAGAACACCACAAAAAGTGCACAAACATATTTTCTTAAAAATGTAATTTGTTGGTTATTTTAATGATTCCACATGTTTTATCATTATTTGCACTTGACAGTATATTCCAAAGATGTCAGATGTGATAATTACGTTGAACTTTTTTAACACTGTTCCTCAACTTTAACCAAAAGCAGCACACTGGAATATAATTATGTCACATTTGCTTTTTTCTGGAACGTAACCATGGTACTATGAACCATCTCTCCATTTTTACAGTTGGTGCAGATGTCACTTGTTGAAAACGTGTGAGGAAGCTGCTTCAGTTCAACTCTGGAGAAAAGAGAAAACTAATAACTGATAAAGTTAGGTGCTGATATTTTTCTTGAATTCCAGTTTCTGTCGACAGAGCGGTGTAAGTCGTGTTGCACTGTAAAATGCGATGCAGCTGAATCCAAGAGAGGAACCATCCTGCAGAAGACCCTCACTGAGGTGTGACCTGGTATCTGGGACGCTGTGTAGCTACTATGCAAACTACAGGCTGGTTTCACTGAACTAGAATATGCAAAATGGACAGAAAAGAAAAACAAAAAGTGGCTGACAGTAAGAACAACCACAATGACCGAATCACGAACACACAAATATGAATAACCAAATTGATATTTGTTCTATGATAAACTTTGATGAAAACCAGGATAAGACTCATAATGTGTGTGTGCATGAACACAGTCATCAACAAACATGTCTGCTAACAGAGACTCCACAAACAATCAGTGGCTTCATTTGGTTTTCTTCAAAACAACATGTTGGAATATTGACAGATGTTCAAAAAAAATCTACTGTAACTGTAAAGTTTTACTATTTCACCCGTATCACAAGATGACACCTATAACATTTTAGCTGTGAACAGCAGGTTCAAGGAGAAGGGTGAGATTTTCACATCATCTATTTTGCACTACGCTGGAAAAGGTTTCCATTTTGACAGAGAAAAGTAGATGGTGCAGCTCCACTAATGTTTGTTCTCAGGCTGCGGACACACTGCATGACTCTTAATTTCAGACACAATTTCATCATCACAACTGACTTTCCACTTCAGAGCTTGTTGGTGCTTTTTTTTTTTTACACAGACGATCTTGCAAATTGGTTTTGGAGTCAATAATTGGAACCCGGCTCAACATCAGTGTGTCACACTGACATATTTTATGGTTGGAATAAGTTTAAGGATTTAGCTGTATCAGCTGGATATGTTAGCTAGCTGCTCAAATCACATGATATTGCTCTTCAACTATCTGATGCTTGGCCACAGCCAAGGTAAAAAAAAAAAAAAAAAACACGATTTAAAAAAAAAAAAAAAAAAAAGATTTAATTTTTTTTATTATTAACATTTTAACTGTTGACTGACTTGTTATATTTTCTGCATTTTTTTTCAAAATAGAAGCCTACATTTTTCACAGGTGTGTTCTGGGCAGGTCACAATAAAAGGTCACTTTAAAATGTGCAGTTTTAATTTGAAAAAATAAAAAAATAAATAAAGACATTAGGAATTTCTAGGGTTAAAATGCACATCTGTAGCCCCATTCATGAGTAATCCACAGTTCAGTGCCTAATAAATGTCTTTTTAAAAAAAATAAAAGTCATTCTGGAGTGGCCTTTTATTGTGACATGCCCAGGGCACACTTGTGAATTAATCAGCATTTTGATATGTCACACCTGTCAGGTGGATGGATGGTCCAGCTCACTAACACGAATTTAAACATTTTTATGAACCAGATTTGAGAGAGAGACGCCTTTGTGTGCGCTTAGAAAAGTTTTAGATCTTTAATTTCAACTCATGAAAACAAAAGTGTCGCATTTATATTTTTGTTCAGTATATATTTGAAATATATTGAGTCTAAAAATAGTGGTTTCAGCCAGTGAAATAACAACATGTGTCAGTTATTAATAGTACAATGTAAACTCCCCCCAGGTTGATAATAAAACACTGAGATTACAACTTCAGTGTAAGAGGTTGTTACAGCCCTGATCAGATGTAGTAAAGACAGTTTATAGTAGAGACTCAGTGCCTCTTTAAAATCAATAAGAAATATCAATATTTGAACAGAACAGGCCAGTGTCAGTGTTGAACACATGAGCTCCACCTCTCCAAACCCACAAGGTGTGTCATGTTTTCAGTCATGGAGCGCCTCCCCAGCCTTTAGCATTGTGCAGCTCTGTGGAGGAATTGAAATACGAGGGGTTTTCTAGAGCTAACTACCCACTGCAGGGTCAGTCTCAGGCCTACCCTCAGAGCTTCTGCACCATCCGTCCTCCTCTTCTGTGGTGAGCAGCCACAACACAACAAGACAGACAATCAACCTATGTCTGACTGTACAACGTGCACACACACACACACACGCGCACACACACACACACACACACACACACACACACACACACACAGTCAATGGAAGATTTTCATCTCCTGTCAGCTGAGTGAAGAATGGCAGGGACAAAGTCTATCTCCCTCAAATCATAATTTAATCATCACTTATTATTTTCCAAAAGTTTCCTCAGCTCAGACAGCAGATCCTCCTCTCACACGATGAAGAGTGAGATCATTATTGGGAAATATGTCGCACCCTCTTGGGGAAGACTAATTTCCCTGATGCAACTTGTGCTCCTATTTTTACCAAAGCAGTGGTGTTGCTTGTCACTCTATACTCACTCTACTAGAATCACCACCCACCAACCAGTCAAGCTGCAGCCTAACCCTAACCCTGTCACAACTTCTCCCTCTGTTCCTGACTTACAGTGCTGAAGTGTTTTTGCAGATCATCATGATGTCACAGTGAAGATGACCTTTGACCTCTTGAATATAAAATATCATCACTTCATTATTTGATACTGTTAGAGATTTGTGTTAAATTGTGTCATAATTAGTGTATGAAGTCTTGAATCATGGCCAAAGATGTTGACGTCACATTGACCTTTGACCACCAAAAATTTGAAGAAATCCCTCACAGCATTCCTTAGATATTGTGTTCACAAGGCCAAAACCATGTTTTGTGAGGTCACAGTGAAGTTGACCTTTGAGCACCAAAATCTAATCAGTTCATCCTTGAGTCCAAGCGAAGAAATTCCCCAAAGGTGTTACTGACTATTGTGTTGAGGAGAATAGGTCAGACGGTCTACCTGAAAACGTGCTGAGGTGCAGTGGGACACACTGAACCACAGTACAGTATTATTATTTTTTTAATCATTAAATCCTTTAAACAGGTAGTCTCACTGATATATACTGTATATATATACACTGTTGTATATAAAGAAGAGTACAGGACGTCTCAGCTTCATGTACCAGACATGAAAAGAGAGAAGTGTGAAGATGAAACTGAAGCTCAACTTACTTTGACACCATCTGGTTTCTTGTTCAGCAGGCTCTTGGCTGCTGTTGAGAAAAGAAGAACAATGGAAGGAAATGAGTGGCCAGCTGGATTTAAAACACACACACACACACACACACACACACACACACACACACACACACACACACACACACACACACACGCTGTGTCTGGACAAAGCTGGCCAATTACTAGCAACCTCAAAGTGGGCACTGCTAGAATTGGAAGCAGAAGAGAAAAATGCAAATTAAGTGAGGAGATGAAATAAAAGTTACTGAATCATTAGCCTGGAACTGGAATTACAGTATATTCATCTGATGAGACTATAGGAGAAGCACAGCAGTGTCCAGGGAACTGTTTGGCTTCTCTTCTCCCTTCTCTGCCCACTGTCACTCAAGGACAATAGAACGCCTTTGATTGGTGGAGTGAGCTCAACTCCAACTCTTCAGTCAACATGCAAGAACAGTCCAACACACAGAGAAGATGATTGGTAGAGGCAGGGGGAGCAGAACGGGGATTTCAGGGTTTTGTGTATCCTCTGTGATATGGGGGTGGGGGGTTGATTGGCAGGTGAAGGGTTGGATTGGCAGGAGTGATTTGTCAAACCATAGGCATGTGTATGTTTATTAACTGATAGCAGCTTTTCAGTGACATCAAATACTTTTCAGCAGCCGTTTTGGAGGAGAATGTTCCTGAGGCACAGTGTATGCTTCTGTGATCTCTCATCTGTACCGCTCTGACTGAAGGATCTCATCAGACGGAGGTGCCTCTAAACTTTTGCTCAGCCACAGCTATGACTCAAAACCAGGATAAAAACCTTGTGCATTGCAACTGATTGGTAAATGTACATACGGCATATAACAAAGTATTTAGCTATTATTTGTGATATTTGTAAAATATTCTGTAAATATAACAAATCAGCCCCTAAGTCTATGCAACAGAGTTTTATGGATGTGTACAGATGTATGTACACATTTCACTGATTATTTTCTACCTATGACAAAATATTGAATTGCATAATATGTTTCTATCACTTGAAAAGTGTCAATCTTAGTTCTATGTTTAAATAACTACTGATGGATACAGTTAAGATTTATGTAACAAACTATTAAAATAGATAGATATTATGTAACATTATACATATAGAGACCTGTACATGCGTATACCTATGGCAAATCATTTAATGCCTATTACACAGTATCAAATGCATGTTGTGATGTATAGTCTGTTCTGTAGATGGCCTGTATTTATAAAATGTATAGACTTGGATCAACATTCATAAAAACCACTGCAGAGGTTAATGTAGCAGTAGCTGCTGACACAGACTACAGTTACACACACAACACACTGAGCATGTTTTTGAGGCACCAACGCCACCTGCGGATTATTTACGAATTCAGAAATAAGGAATGTTGTTGATGCCTAGAGTCATTTTCCTCCAACATGGCCACCGGTGGATGCACTGTGTCAGCTGAAAGCTCTATCCTGGTGCTGTAGTAGACATGACATGCCTCAGAGCCAAACCTGACAGTGTAGTTTGACACTGTGGAGAAGTGTCAGCTACACCAAAGACTCTTACCTTACAGGTGAGTTACCACACAAGAAGGGGAGGGAAGAAAAACAAGAGTAAACACTAAGGGCATGTTTACACTTATATTGATTTAATACGGCAAAATGACAGTGTAGGTCTATTACAACAAATAAATGAACAAGAATGAAAAAATGTCAGCTTGCCATAAAGAGAAACAATCAATAACGTTAGACTCAGTTTGAATGTTTTGCCCTTTAAAGTGATCTGAAGATGGGACTCTATTGATCTGTCTCTGCTGACAGCCACTGAGAAGAGAGGCCAGATGGAGCTTAATGGGCTCTAAAGGCCAGAGTGTTTAAGAAACAGCTGCAGTCAAAAGAACAGCATCTTAAAACTATTGGTAAATAAATAATACAGACAGAGTGAAAGAGAAACTGTCACCACTAATACTGCTTTTATCAAGAAGGACAACATGTGGGACTGGAAGAGATCAATTCTAGTGGCAGGACGGGGAAGAATTGTGACCATTAACGGCCCCTCGTCGCTGTACTGGTCTTACCTGAGAAGTTGCGAGTGGCGAGCATGGTAGTCAGGATGGCACCCTGTGGAGAGAGACACGGACTCAGAGACACAGACTGCTGTGTTTACACAAGCTGAAAGGTTAATGATTAGACATTCTGCTGCCTGTGACTGGGGTTGACCTATGACTTCATCTCTTCACTCCCAATAAGGAAGCCATCAAACAATCATGGTGCTTTCCAAAAAGGAAAAACAGGGATTGCCCTGTAACACCTGCTGTCACTCACCTTGAGTTTCCTTCTTGCGTTGAATTTCTTCAGGCACTCCACAGTCTCCTGTCTGTGCATCATGGACGCCACAGTGGAGCGTTGCTGCAAACACAGACATAGTGTGTGCTGTTATCTCAACTGTATGTGACCTGTATCGAAAACTCTGGAGTAAAGGTGCGTTCACATCCAATGTTTTGTCATTTAGTGTCGACTGAAAGGGTGGATATGAAATGAACAGATGTCCTACTGTGTGTGTGTGTGTGTGTGTGTGTGTGTGTGTGTGTGTGTGTGTGTGTGTGTGTGTGTGTGTGTGACGTACGCAGATCCAGGGGTGTTTGAGAGCGTCTGTGGCAGTGACTCTCTTGGCTGGATTGATGGTCAGCATCTTGTTGATCAGGTCTTTGGCCTCTGGAGTCACGGTGTCCCACTCTGGGGAGGGGAACTGCTCGAAGAAAGACGGCACACAAACCATTTACACCGTCCCACCAACCATCTAAAGTATTAGCCTGCATCTCATTCTTGCATTATGGTTACATATAATTTAGCAACATTAAAAAGTTCTGAAATTGTTTTGTTACCTGCCACACACTGTTTGTCTCATTCAGTGGGACAGACTCTGTTCGCATGAATGCTTTCAGTGTCTTCTTAAGGTCATGTAGGTATTTTAGAATATCCAACAATCTACTTTTATTGCTGTTGGCCTGAGATGTTGGTGCCAACCGGGATCTGTCCGAATCACTGTGTCGCACAGTCTTAAAGTGTTGTGGATTGAAAGTTGGCATCAAATAAGTGTTCAGATTTCTAGGTCTGCTTGCTTATTAGTTGATCTCTTCCAATTTTAAACTGTATTTTCTTTAGTCAAAGATATTTTTTAAAGACAGATGCATTGCACAGTTTGACATATATTGTGAAATGAAACAAGGGGCTAAAACAGGCTTATATTCTCCAAATTAAAAGGTTCCCTGTGGAGATTCGTGTGTGTTCTTGAGGTCTGACTACAGCACTGAATGCATCTCGTACCTCTTCAAACATCTGCAAAGTCTGCATTGTTTACATCCAGGTTTGCTAACTTCTCCTGCCTTTCATTGGCACACTGCAGCTATTCTCTGTTTGTTACAACCTCCAACTGTAGAACAGTGAGAAAACACTGGCAGGATGTGTGTTGCTTCACCTGTGTGCTCACATGTGTGCATGTGTATGAGGTACGAACAAAACACTGAGTGGTCAAATACTCTGTCAGGTACCTTTAAGTTACCAGAAGAAGTAGTTTTCATATTAGCACCAAGTGTGTGTGTGTGTGTGTGTGTGTGTGTGTTTATGACAAGGTATCACATATCCCAGAGTGTCTCAGGTGCAATCACACTGATGGGAACTGACAGACATGTACAGTCGGTTTGTAATTCAGACTCTGAGCACATTATATTTAAAAATAAAGTATTGGATACTACAGTAAAGTGCTAAGTCTCAACTTTATTTCTCTTAAACCTAGTTGATAAAAAGCATCAAGGTAACCCGCCACACCTGTGTCATTTCTGTTCCCTTGCTTATGCTTTTGTGGAGATCATGTGCAAAAAACCTAAAAACTGAAAACTATTTAATCTATATTCTTACATCTTGTACTGTTTAAAGCTCCATCCAGTCTAAAGGTCCCTGTCCATGTGCTGGTTGATTATAAAGCAGATCTAGGTTCTAAGTATCAGAGCACTCAGTCCAGAGAAATGCACACAGCCTGTATTCACAAACTGAGTGAGTGAAACTCACATCATAAGCTCCAGCTTTAATCTGCTGGTAGAGTCTGTGCTGGTCCTCGTCCCAGAATGGAGGATATCCCACCAGGAGAATGTAGAGGATCACACCTACACACACACACACACACACATTAGTCAGAGTTAATCTTGACAGACAGCTCACATTTTAAAGCAAACAAACAACGTTAATGACCCGATTATCAAAAGCATAACTTTGCACCAACAGTCTATAAAGTGAGAAATAAAGGCAGAGATAAAGATGAATAAGACAAACACAGGATTTCTAAATAAAGAGCAGTGTGGTAACAAACTGAAACCAAGTGCTTGAGTTTGCTGGTGTTACCAGGGGTTTTGATTGGCTGGCCAGTTGCCAGGAAAAGATGAAAGGCCCTCTATCTGACAATGAGATAGTCTGACCACAAACACAACAGCAGCTATTGTCTGTGCACTCAATGAGTCAGCACAGGTGTGTGGAGAGGAGCACCAGTGTGTGTTCAGACTGCGTGTGTTTGACAGCTCAGGCCCAGGTGGCCTGGCCCATCACACGTGTGTGTAATGAGCATCAGCAATGATTAATTCAAGAGGTTGGAGCCCTCTGTGGTGCGTACACACGCACACGCAAACACACACACACGCACACAGTTCATTAATTGAGTATGATGAGTATATGCTGTGATTTACCCAGAGATGTATTAGATCTTCCATGACAGCTTGTAAAACTAACACACCAGTTTATAGTTAACCAGTCCTTGTCTCAACCATCTCTCCTGCTGTAGCACTTGGCTCTGGGGCAATAATGTTGGTGAAGGGTGAAAATTAAATGACTTTAAAAATGAAACATGCAGTCTGTGATGATGTGTCCACATGCAAAATTCAAAAGTGTAAAAGCACAGCTAGTCATGGCTTGTGCTGCTGCAGGGGAAATTCTAGAACATTTCACTTAGACGCTACAGGTGTAACACCTGTAGATAAAGGTGGTGTCTCACAGCAACTTTACCACAGCAGCAAATCTGAAGTCACCTGTTGTGTAACTTCAGATTGAGAACACACATAAAACATGCAATGTACATAACACAGAGACATGAAAACACAAGATGTTCTCAGGTCTGTGTGTTATGTACAATGTTCTGGAAGTCAACAAAAACCTCTAAAGCTGCTGAATGTCAGTTAGTGCTGTGTGTTACTGTAACATGCTGGAACTATTTCTGGACAAATTACAGTTTATCCCTCCACTCAGTACTTCGGACAGAGAGGTGTTTGCATCCATCTGTTTTTATGTGCACTAAATGTGCATAAAAAAAAAAAGAAAAAAAAAACAGAATCACCTCCTCGTGGCTGTTTGTCTCCGCCACTGAGACTAGTTTCAGGTTACATTCCTGTTTATCCAGAGTCATAGAAAATATTATTTTGTCAATATAATTTTTTATATTTTGCTGTGAAGTCTTGAGTTATGGATCATGGAGGAACAGAGGCAAAAAAAACAGAAAAAAAGAAAACATGATTTCACCATGATTTCACATCAAGGCCTGTGATTGGCTGTTTCAGACCCTGGCAGTTGTGTGGGACTAATAATTAGCACCTGCTCCATTGGGCTCCCCTGAAATGAGATGCTGGTTAGCAGAGGATCTTACCACAGGCCCACATGTCCACCGGCTTGCCGTAGGGATCTTTCCTCAGCACCTCTGGGGACAGGTACCCTGGTGTCCCGGCGAAGCCTGGAACACACACACACATAAACATTAAAAGCTGACCATCCTCTGTATGTTGACGTCTAGCAAAAGCTTGTTAGGAACACCCCCCCCCATGAGAGGAACACTTCCCTCTGAGGTTCTGTAGTCTCACTACAGCAGCACACAGCCTGCTTCGACAAAAAGACTCAAAGTACCAACATGCACGGCTCACTCCACACATCCCTTTGCCACCCCTGGGCCACCCTAGATAGAAAAATTCCTAGAACCGCCTCTGGGTAGCGGCAGACCCTGTGGGTAATGGGACGTGGTCTAGTAGTAGAGTCAGAACTGGTTCCAGATGAAGCTGGAGCTCGGGGAACAGACCAATTATTTCTCTGTTCTACAGGGAATAGGGAGAGAAATAGGCCTGATATCCATCCAATCCAGACTCGAAGAGCCAGGAGCAGTGGCACACCCACTCCCTTCAGACAGGTGTGAGGGAACAGGGGCTCTGAATAATTAAATGGATCAACTGTAGATCTGATTTGAGTTTGGTTTTTAAAGAAACACAAAACTAGGACAAAAAAAACCAAAGTGTTCCATTTCATATGTCTTTCATCAGCTGAGTGAGACCTTTCCTGAGGAGCAGGAAGTGCTACATGGTCATCTTAGAGAAAATTAAACATTAGAGATGTCTGACATTGTTTTCAGCAAGAAAGGAGGGAGGAAAACAATCTAAGGTGCTTGAGTATAGAAAGTCACATTTTCATCACTATATACTACCTCTGCAACAAAATGATGAAATGCTTAAGGCCACATTTGTGACTTTCTTTTCATCAAAGGTTTTAGCAGATTGATTTTGTCACTACCAATCAAACACCCGGCTTTGAGTTCATCAAACCTTTCAGCCAGATTGAGGAGCAGGGCTGCAGCTTTGACGCCAAAGTCAAAACTCAGTCCTACTGGAAAAACACAGAACACACAGACATCAGATCCACACAGTGATGACCGAGTCTCCAGTATCCGTCACAGACAAACAACATCCATGAATCTCATTGGAAATCAGACAAAAAGATTCCACATAACACTTCAGATCTATCCTAACATACTGTGGTGCAGATTCTCTAAATGCTTTCACAAGCAGAGACTACAGATATCAAACAAAGCAGTCTACTATTTGATTATCTTAAGCACAAGGCCGCCCAGTCAACAGCGCCAAACAATGCAGCATTGTTCACTCTAGGAAAGAATGTTTGCCTTTGGAAGAATTCAACGGTTTCAAGGACTGAAAGAATTCAATGAGTGTAACAATACAAAAAATTAAAAACCAAAAATATATAAGCAAGAAAACAAACAAAATTAACTATTAAAATATCAGCTGACATATCACAATCCCATCAAGTGATTCAGATAAAGCAACATACAATCATTCTAAAAAATCATTCTTTAAAACTAAGCTTTGTGATTAATATAAGAACTCAACAATCTGTAACCAGTGCCCTTCTTACACATCTCAACCAATCAGAACAAAACGCACACATTCAGACGAAAGCAGAACAAGACAATGAAAACCTAACATTCAATCAATCAGAACAAAACCAATCAGGTTGGGAACAAAGAAAAAAAAATAACAACTCTATCCCATACTGTCTGTTTTAATTTGATCAGTGTTGCACGTTTTCATTTCTTCACTGCAGTTGTTCCATAATTTAACTGCCTTGACGGTGACACTGATATATTGCATCAGTCCTTACTAACTGTGTTTTGAACAAACAGACTCGTTACCTCAGGTACGACAGGACCCCAGGTGAGAAACTCCTTTCCAGATAAAGAAATATCATGATAAAATCAATCATCATCAACATGGCTGAAATCCACTCTCTCTTCTTAGCTGTCATATAAAGATACTTATGGTCTGTTTAAAACCTGTAGACATGCTAACTGATGCCATGGAAACAAGGCAGAATAGACTGTGGCTAAGTGTTGGCTTAACACAGCTGAACTGCATATGATTTGTGTGACAGTTGTGAGGCACCTGCTTTGATAAATCACATTCATAGAAAATATCCTGTAACATAAAAACTTGATTCAGATCCTGAATTTAAAAAAAAAAGACTGATACTGAGAATCAGGTTTTTTCAGCTGTGACATCAAACCAACTGCAAAATGAATCCAGTGTGGAGGGAAGGAGAGCTATTTATCATAAAAAGGCAAACAACTATATCATCAGTCACATATTTCATTCATTGAAAATATGAATCCCCATATTACCACTGGAAAGAAGTTGTGTGTACTCACCAAACCATGCCTGCTGGTCACCCTGCACTTCAATGGCCAGGCCAAAATCTGCCAGTTTGACTGCCGCCCCCTTCAGCTTGCTGGCTAGGAGCAAGTTCTCTGGCTGGAGTGAAGGGACACAGAGAAAGACCCTCAGTACGCTGCACTGATATAGAGATAATTCATTTTCAAATGAAAATAAACTGGAAAGACTGTTTTGGTCACAGGCAGCTTAGAGGCTTTAAGAACTACAGGCAGGATTGTTATAGTTCACACAGTAATGTCATTAAGGACTGGTGTCTTACAGTGTGTCTCAGCAGTCAGGACTAAAGGCGGAGTGTAGCAGCAGTCCAGTCTGAGTCTGTGTCTATGGATGAAGGCATGTCAGAGTCACAGTCAGAGTCAGAGTCCAACCTTTAACACTCAGTCACCAGCGACTCTGAGCCTGATCTGGTTCAGTCGGGGCCAGAGCTGACCTCAGCACCACAGGTGGATGTCATTCAGCAAGCTGCCGTCAGATTGGCCGTGTGATCCTGGCTGCTAGAGGAGGACCGGGTGAAGAAGGTGGACAGTGACTCATGCCAAACCCCTGCAGGAGGAAGGGGGTGGGGCTTCAGGGAAGTGTCCAGAGAGGATGAACAGGGTTTTTCCTGCATAGAGAATTAAGAAGCGGCCAACACCTTCCCGCCTACAGCTCTCGACAAACTGACGGGTTATTTTCTAGGTGACTCACTCAGTGTTTCCACCAGGATCTGCTGAAGAGGAGGAGCTGCAACTTTCCTCAAGGAATTTCCTTCAAACAGCATCTGTGTATTCTGTACAGCTGCAGTGTGTCAGGCGGCGCCGCCCTGATATTTTATGGCTGTTCAAACAGGTGAATGTTGTTTCTTCTGCATCCAAGCACGTCTAATTTCATAATTAACATCAAGGCGAGGGTCTTCACCTGACAAGTGTTTTAGTGTCACGTGGCCAGACCTCCACAGCTTTGTCAGTGCTGGAGAATGGTCTGGTTCAACAATCATCACTCGGCTGTGGAAAACCCTCTGGCGTGTTTCCATTTCTACAAACAATCACAATTGTCTCAGGCAGAGCTGAGCTCAAGTTGCAGCGATGGTGCCTCTGCAAAAAAGTATGGAAGTGGAACTTGTTTTGGTGGAACACGTGTGGAGGTGAGCAGCGTCATTAAAATGACTAATTTTCCAGAGGGAACGGTGGACTGTGAGATCACATGATCCAAACCTTCAAACGTGACATTTTCAGCTGCCGGCTGCAGCTCAGACGTTGTTGTTGTTGTTTCCCGTAGTGAAGGGAAACGGTAACAGGCAGAGGAAGCGGAAAGGGAGGAGAACTTGCCTGAAATCGGCAGGTTTATACTCACAGCCTACAGCTGTTGCGTAAGACGAGAAAGTTTTGCCACAATGTTTATCGTGAAATTTTAACGTCACTTTTTATTCATCTTCCCCGAAGACATCTGATTTCAAACATGCGCTTGAGACCTGGAATAATGAAAGTTTATGTATTTCAGAAAACATGTCAAACGTCTTCAGACACAAAGGCTCTATTTTAACCGTCTAAAGCACATGATGTGTTCAGGTCATGTCCAAATCCACTTTTTCTAGTTTAATGGGAAATGGTGAACATGGGAAAATGGTCGCTGGACCAGGCACATGGTTCCACAGGTTGGAATTAGTCTCATTGATTATTCATGGGCGAAACAGGCAATAAACCAGTCACAGCGCCATCTCCCATTCCCTTTAAAAGCCCGGTGCAGATTGCTAGCATAACAGTGGATTTATCAGGTAGTAAGAAAGAAGGTGTTCTCTGTCAGAGCGGAGCAGGCAGAAACAGCTGTTTTTTTTGGCTCGAAGCATTACCATCTTGATAATGCACCAAACAGTGAAATACGGCACCACTGACTTCACACCAGGTTTCACTTTCCACTGCCTCATGATAGGAAATGTGCCAACAATACACCTGACCACACCTCATTCTAACACCAACACAGCGCTCAGAGGGGTTCAAGTGTGTTCGCTATTTAAGCAACGTGTGCGCTGGGCGGCAAAACGACAACCGCATCAGTCTGAAACCAGCAACACAGCTGTGTAGCGGTTGGCGCCACTTTGTGCTGGGTGGAAGATAAGGCCCATGGTCCTTTGTTGTGGACATGGGGGTGTTTGTCTTTCCTCACTGTAAAATGATCAGGAGTTTGGAAGAATGACAATAAATAAAACGCATTCAACACTAACAGTGAGTTTGTGAATGTGACACAAAGGCAGAGAGGTTTGTTGTGGAGCTGGAAGAGAAGACTGTTTTCATTCTTGATTCTTGAATCTGCAGATTTTTTTTTTTTTTCCTCAATTTATGGTCATATTTTACATTTACACATCTACACTTGTATCCAAAATGACTCATTTACACTGCAGTGGGAAACCAATCATTTAATGTAGGTCTTTAAAATGTCATGTGAAATACTCAGGGTGACATCTCCTGATGATCTATTATCATCCTTTTGGAAATTCCTCGGGAGTCACTCGAACGCGTGAAATATGTTGCTGGTAGAAAGTGTTTGCTTGAGCCAGTTAAAGGCATGGTGCACGTGCAGGTGCGCATGTGATCAGGATAGTACGAAACAGGAAAAACACTGATGAATAATGTATTTGCTGACATTTTCAAAAGGTGTTTGCTTGATGGAGCCAAACTAAAAGTTATACAATAAAAACAAAAGCTGAGCATGCTGCTGATCAAAAGGAACAGCTGATCATATAGATCACATTTTTTCCTCTACAGGTGATCAGGCCATTCATGTTTATAATTTCATCGGAGTGATTCCAGATTAACAGCTATTGAAACTAAATGTATATGAGAGCAGAATGAATGCATGTTCCAATGGAGACAGGTATATGTAAGAACGACTTATGCCTTGTATGGCTCCTCATACACTGCCTACACATCACCTAACCACCAAAGTCAAGTCAAGTCAAGTCAGTTTTATTTATACAGAGCCAAACCTTAACACTAGTTCTGTCAGGACTTTTCATCTAGAGGTCTGGACTGGACTCTGTCGGGTATCAGTCCAGCCATCCACTGAAAACTAGTGAAATCCATCTCATAGGTTAAATGTGTGTATTTCCAGGTTGTTGAGCGGTTAGCAGAGCATGTGGGAATTCAGTCAGCATGCTGTGGTCAGACGTCCGGGGAGGAGTGGGAAAGGGAAGAAGGCAGAATGGACAGGAGTATGGAGGGAGGAGTTTGGGTTAATGCATTCATCAGCATCATGCAGTCATTGCAAACGCTTCCCGACTTCGCCCTCCTCCAACACAGCCCACACCAGACCCCAGCCCCGGAAACAACCATGTGACCTGGTGGATAGGCAGAAAGGTCAAATGGAGGGAAGAGGGTGAAACGTTTAAAAAAAAATTGTTTTAAGTTTGAAATTTTTGGGGGTTTTTTTTTTTTTTTTTTTTTTATTCTGGCCATAATTTCACTCATGACAACATTGTATTCTTCAAAGTTATATTTCCCACTAAAAGCAATTTTAACGGTGGTCAGATGATCAGCTCTGTTTGGAAAAAAACAAAATACAGACTAACTTCCTGGTTTAATTTTGACCCATTTAATTTGCTGTACTTCTCCTCAAACATCCAGGTTCTCAATCCCCTGTCTGACTGTGTTGCAGCAGCGTCACACCTCGACAGCAGAGTCATGAAGCAGAAAGAACTATTCCAGAGCTAAAAATCACATTTATTTCCAGCAGGAAAATGTTAAGTGAGTCACAGTTGGTGCACCTCCACAGCCTGAACAGACATGAAAGTCTTCTGTTCATGATATTGATTCATGATAGAAAAAAAAGCCTGTGGACATGAGAACTTGTTGACTGTGACTAAGCTTCAGAGTTACATGCATCAGTGACAGTGACAGCTTTATGTTACGGTGCTGAGGAAATTGGTCAAACACCTTCTGCACCTTGTTTTGTTCACAACTGCAATGACAAAGCGTTTTGCTTTTGCTACTGCCCTGATTCCTGCCTCTTAATGCTCCATTTCCATGACATCAACAGCTGAGGCTCTTGGGAAATGTAGTATTCAGAGCCATCTGGCGTTCCAGACTGCCAGAAAATATATACGTGATTTCTCAAAGACTGAACTGAGTAGAAATAATTTGTTGGTAAAATGGTTTTAAAAAATAGTTAGTTCTGCCTGTCTCCATCTCATGTCTGCGTAGACAGTGAAACTGTAGAGACAGTTTTCACATACCAACTGCCTCACGCATGAAAAATAGACCGAATGGTGCTCAACAGCTGTTCTGTGTGTGTTTCATCACTGCTCCACTAGAACCTCTGATAAATCCATGTGTCCTGGCTCCTCAAATAAACTATGAAGCTTTACAAGAACTTAAGAAAGACAGGTACGTATTGGTTTCCTGTGTATGTGTATGATCTTGAGAGATGAAATCCCATGAACACAGTTCTCTCCATAGAGCCTCTGCTCTGCAGCTCGTGTGTTTGTTTTGGATGTATTTGTTTTCTCTTTATTTCTGCACTGAGCCGTGGCAACTGCCTAGCAACAGCCAATTACAACACAGAGAGGGTGCAGTCGGCGAATGCAAAATGCGAGCTGATTATTGCCGAAGGTAAACCAAACCTGAGACACACCCGCTTCATTTGATTGGCAAATCAGAGCTTTGGGGGCAGAATCAGAGACATAAACAAGACCTCTGTGGACTAAATGTTTACTAAGCTCCAAACTCCAAAAGCATTTAACCATTATCAGGTCAACATTTAATAATACTACTACTACTACTAACAACTTCATCTATATAGCACCTTTCATACATAACATGCAACTTAAAGTTTTACAATATGACATTAAAAACAAAACAATAAAAGAACCAATAAAAAAAGACAGTTAAAATAAAAATAATAAAATGGACTACATTAACTTAAAGCTTGAACAAATAAGTAGGTCTTCAGTTATTTTTCTTTTTAGTGTCAACAGAGCTTGTGGGCCAGGTTCCAGGATGTCTAAGATACTGAGGAATTTTGTGTCTTCAGATAAATTATTTATGTGGATATTAATGTTACCATTTAAAATTATTCTATCATAATTAGTGATAATGAGTGACTTAAGTTCTGAAAACTGTCCATAGCTTAGGAGGGCATTGTACGGTAAGTATGAGTAGCACTGGCTCAGCCTCTAAAGCATCTGCATGTACTCAATGTGGAAAAACCACAATAGCTTACCCTAACAGATCTGACCTCACTTAAAGGTCTCATATAGCCTAAAGGTCTCTGTCCATGTTGTAAAGCAGGTCTAGGTTCTATATTAATACTGTGAAAGTATCAAAGCCTCAGTCCACAGAGAAATGCACACAGCCTGTATTCACAAACTGAGCCTTAAAACCAGCCGTCAGGACTTCAGGAACGCTGTGATGTCACAACAAAGCAGTCACCCTGTCAGCTAAGCCCCAAGCCTCACCCACCTGGACCCACCATCCAACCCTGCAGGATTTGGTTTCTCTGAGTGTTTATCTGAAATCTACTACATTTTCATTGGATCACTCAGTAATCAGTCAGCTATAACCAACAGCCTTAAATAGCAGAGTTTAACAACCCAGCTACAAGATGGTGTTTCAGTACAGTCTCAATCAAAACTGTCTTCTCCAGTACTGGAAGCTGGGCATCCTCCATGGAGTTAGATAATGTACCAAATACTCAAAACAGGGGAAGAAACAAGGGCATTTGGATACCACATGCATGAATTACTACTCTGTTGGAAAGTAGGACTTGACCACTTTGGGATTGTAGCTCTAGACCTTTGTGTTCCCAGAGGAGATGACTTATTGACTGTGCGTCTTGGGAGAGATGGCTTCTACACATCTCTCACATCTTGAGGCAATGACATGTGCAAAAGAATTTTTTTTCCATTCAAACTTAAAACACTTCCAACACTAACACTGTTGGGAAAAAAAAAAGAAAAAACCCCACGTAATTCTCCTGGTTTGCGTATACTGTCAAAAACTGTGGTGAAGTCTGATCAAACATTTGGTGAAATAGAAAATACTACAGATACAAGAGACACTGAATGTCACTGTGGCCTCATTGTTCGACATGTCTGAACACACTACATCTAGTATTTATTATGTATTATTTCTGTCAATTGTGGGAGCATCTGCATGAATACATGTGGAGATATATGTTGGTGTTAATTGATTTTGTTGAGTTTTCAGATGGACTTGGGAATTGACCATAGGTTGAAGTGAGACTTATTTTTAGTTTGGAACCTGAAACGTCTAGAAATTTAGATTTTTTGTAATAAGCCACACATTTTTTAAACATTTTTTCTTTGTGTGTTTCACGCATTCATAGTCTATCAAATGATTCATTCATTTATAAAACATGGTAAATGAATAGTGGCAGGATTCACTGCTGTTTATAGAGTATTGTATTAACACTGAGTGGACTGTCTGAAGCTGATGTTTGATCGAAACATCTCCAGGCGAAGTTCAAAGAATGTGATATGATTTTTATAGAGCTAACAGAGAAACATCAGTGTAGATGTGGAACAGGAAGTTCAAACAGAAACAGATGGACAGGACAATAAGGACATGTTGGAGAGTGGGACACTAAGAGCTTGAGCTCACTTCTTCATCGTGTGTGTGTACTTACCTTGAGGTCGCGGTGGACCACGCCCATCTGGTGGCAGTGGAGCACAGCCTCTAGGATCTGCTGAATGCAATGACTACATGCAAACACCAGGGGGCCATGGGTTAGTGACAAGCTACCACTCACTGTCTGTGGCTGTGAGCTCGCTTTGACACTCAGGGAGCCGCTGGCCGTGTTGTTGTTGTTGGTGGTGGTGGTGGTGGTGGTGGGAGGGGCACAACAGATCCCCAGAGACCATATCATGGGCAATTTGTTAAAATGGAACATTTACTCAACAGCAAGTTTTTTTTTGTTTTTTTTTTTTCTTTTGGTGTGTGTGTGTGTTGCCACAGTCACACACTGATGTTTGCTGTGACAGATTGAGGAAAGAAAAGAACGGCCGCAATTATGTCATCATGGACTAGTCACACAACACGGCCAATTCTCTGCCCGAGTCTCAAAACAGAAGTGGTGTTAGCTCCTGGCCAGCTGGAGGCCAGACCCTGAGAGACTGAGGAGGAAGCTGTGGAGCTGCAGGAAGGTGTGGTTCCAACCTGTGAGACAGGCCATCAGTGTTCAACCATGTGCAGCTTCACTTCTCTGACAAACATCCCAAACTATAAATTTCTGTAGTACTGTGACGCAACTGACATCATCTGTACAAAATGGACTGAACACAGGTCACAACAAACACAGTAGCAGATTACAGTGGAATAATTCTATGTTATTGTATTGAAATTGTCATTTGAAAGAGTGATTCCAGAGGTCTGCCTTGCTCTACCTGCACCCCTAAGGTTTGCCATTTAAAAAGCACTAAAAGACTCACCTGTTTAAACTGGCTTTCAGAAGAATTGTGTATATTTTACTGGATACTCTACTGTATCCCTGTGTGGTGTGTTTCCATGCAGTTCTATTGACTGATTATAATTGTTTATGGCTCTGTAAAGCACTTAAATGGCCCTGTGTTGTGTGTTTTCTATATTTTTTTGCACTGATCTTAATTGTTGTTTTTTGAATCTGTGAAGCACTTTGTGAGTTTTATCTACAAAAAGTTCTATATAAATACGTTTTAATAACTTTACTTTAATGACATTAGTAAAGGTTTAACGGAAGAATAAGTGGGGGCTGTCAGTGTCTCTGGTTAAAGGCAACAGTCTCTGCTGTATTTAGTCTAATTAACATGAATTCTGTGAGGCTGCATTAACCTGACATGCCAGATGTTTTGTTCCACAGAACCATCTGGGAAGGCTTCGATAGAAATTGTTTGGAAAAGGGCGGGTGCTTTCAAAAAATACTTGGCAGGTGACTGGATGAACCATCTGTCACCATCTGAACATTTATGCTCGGCCAAAGACCGGCTCCTCGAGAAGAAACAACACCACTGTATCATTCTGATGGATGAAAAGCATTGGAGTGAGTCTTCTTCTAAATACAGCAATGCAGTTGAAAGAATCATGTAAGTCTGCATCAGTGAGTAGATGGGCATTAGCAGAGTCCATCACCAACACCTGACAGTCACTATCTTTTTTAGCATCATTTGAAGTTAGAGTAAAAGCTCTGGACCACACCTCTGGGGTTCTGGTCTGTCCTCTCAGTCTGAGACATTGTGTTAGCTTCAGCAGCTAAAGTCCAGAGCTGTGCAGCTTGCAGTTCGTCATTACTGTCATAAGTAGAAAACTATGCTGCTGCAATCAATGAATGTAACAAATGCATTTTATACAATGACTATTTTTGTAGCATCATATTAAAGGTGGACTTCATCGTGATATTTTTCTACAGGGAATTAGTTTATAGTTTACTTGATGGATGTAAGAGGAACTCTTTTTTATAAAGTCTTGTGATGCTTGATGAAAACTAATCCTAAAACTGTGATTGGAAACTATTTTGTCAAACTGCTGTTTAACTTGCATAATACTAGACTGACTTGCACCAGTAACGCCTGGCGGTTAATTTATAGTCAGCACTCACAATTTAAATTAAAAGAGATGTTTGAATGTTTGAAATCATCCTAAATGAAACACTTGACAGAAGAATACAGCTGTCAAAATGGATGAGAATTCTTTGAACACTGTGAGTTGAAGACAAACTGTTGGTTTTTAATACTTGTTATGTGGAGTATGCCAGTGGAGAAGCTGCTGGTTCAAACACTGATGGTTTTAATTACTTGACCTAAATTAATCTGATATCAAAATACAAATCTGTGTTTTACATCAAAGTTTGACGTTTGTCTGAAACTTAAAAACCTGGGATCAGAATTGAAATGGTCACCCCCCCCCCTTCCCTCTCCTCCTCCTCCTCCTCCCCCTCTCCCAGGCCTCAGCCTCTCAGTGGCTGGTTCACAGCATGGTTCTGGACAGATGCTACATGCACTTTGTGCCCTGGCATACAGGAGAGGCAGGCCAAGATGAGATCTACCAGCCCCTCTGGCACTACACCACCTACCGCCTCCTCTCCAGCCAACCTGCCCACAGTGCCCTGGAGTAGGTGGGTATTTAAACACTCCTGTCATGGCGGTGTGCGAGGGTGTCTGGTGGAGGGGGCGGGTGGTTTTGGAGGAGGCGGCATTCTGTGAAAGGTTAATTGGTCGATTGATCAGGCAGTGGAGGAGCGAGGCGAGGTGCCGCAGGTGGGCAGGCCTGTGTCTTTTTGCTGTTACTGTCGTCACTTACTAACCTTTAGGTCCCTGTGCACTATGCCATTTATGTGGCAATGATTTACACTTTCTAGAATCTGCTGTATGCAGTGACTGTGGAGGAGAGAGAGACCAGGCGAGAAGCAAAAAGGAGAGGAAGAGGAGAACAGGTAAATGTCAGGAAACAAAGGAGCAAGAACAGGCAGACAGAACACGCCACAACACATCAAGGAACAACACTTGATTTACAGAGGAACAGGTTTAAAGGAACAGTTCAGCACAAGACTAAGACCAGAGGATCCATATCAATCTCCTGTCTGTGTGTTCAGTACAGAGCTGGAGTCATGAGGCCGTTAGCCTAGCTTAGCATAAAGACTGGCAGCAGGGGGAAACAGCTAGCCCAGCTCTGTCCAAAGTTCAATAAACGCTTCAGCCTTGCTTCCAAACTTAAAGATGGGGACCCCCCCCCTTATTGAAATATCTATATAATACAAGAGATATGATGAGTGAAATAATCATCAACACCATGTTTCCACCTTGAGCTGCAGTGAACCAATGACAGTCTCATAAACACAGATTCAGACAGCCAGGGTTTCATACGTCACAAACCTAAGGAACCAATCCTGTCAACCTGTGGCGATGGGGGGAGGGGCTCAATTAACCTGAAAACTTGTCAGTACAGAGAGAGAGTTCGCATGAGCACAACCACTAACACTGTGTCAGCCACTGTCAGCTACACGCTAACAAACAACATGAACAAATAAAAGATGCTAACTACGCTAACCGTTCTGATCTGTCTGCTAGTCTCTGGTTCTGGTCTCAACAGACTCCTCCTCTGAGTCTGGGTCTGACTGAGGCTCAAACATGTGGCTGAGTCTCTCTGATGTTTCCTCCTCTAACCATCTTGCTACTCTCTGCTCTTTCACCTGTCCACCTGGAGAAAGCAGGTGGTGGGCGGGGCTCAAGGCCTGATCCAGATTTCACAATCAGGAAGTAAGAGGAGATGAGCTTTAGACCCAGATTAACATGTGAAAACACGTTAAACTAAATATGAATCATAGCAGAGGATTTTTACAGAGTTTAAAGCATGCGTGGAACTTTAAAGCACAAAAACCCAAACAGTTCTTTTTACGTTTCTGTTAGTGAACCACTTGAACAAACAGGATATAATACATTCATCACTGAGCTGTTCAGGAAGTGATTCTCTGTTTCTGACACGCTGCAAAAGCAACTTCTAAAGGATCCATGTTGATTTTAGTGAAATAAAGGTCAGCACGATAGCATCAGCAAAAACTCTTGTTTATTTATTTTCTCCACAATTTCCCCTGTTCAGAACCACTGCTTTATGCCAAGCTAGGCTAACCACATCCACATCACATGATATTGATGTTCACACACCACTCTTGGAGAGAAAGCGCATTGTTGAACTGTTCCTTTAAGTTATTTAACATGGAGCAATATAAAAAATGACAGATGCATCTTCATCAATAAAGCTCTTACAGATCTTAACTTTCAACATTTTTACAAATCAGTAAAACCCACCACAAAATAGAATCCAGAACCTTAATTATATAAATCTGAATGTGCATAAATGACCATCTAAAGAGCTGGAGCTGCTCTGTCATGTGAAAGACAGACTTCAACCCAGCTGGATGGAAAAGCTTTGGGATAAAGCTGCTTTTCTTTACAAAATTCAGGTTCATTTTTGAGTGGGTTTTCAATCAACAGAAGAGAAGGTGAAACTGGGAAAGTCCATAACCAAAGGACAAAGGTAGAACAGGAAATGTAGAAGGAGGATCTGCACCATAAAAGGCAGAAAAAGGCAGCACAACAGATAACACTTAACACTGTCCACTGCAGAATGAGTGGGTGTATTTTTGTGTTATACACACACACACACACACACACACACACTGACAGGTGGGTAGTCGCAATTTCAGGATTTTCATTGGCATCTTTTTGTGAATTGCTCTACAGTGTCTCTGCTTCAGTCTGCCTTTATGCTGCCAAAAATGGGTTTGACTTCAAATTTCTGAAGTAAAGCAGAAATATCAACACAACAGAACATCACACTGACCTGGCGTCAGCTTCGCTGTAGTACTCCCTGGCAACAATGTCCTCAAACAGCTCGCCACCTGTAACTCTGGAGGAAGAACAAACAAGAGTGAGAAACAAAACCTGAAAGACAAAGTCACAAAGAAAACACAGATAAACATTTTCATCCCCACGTCTGTGGAGGGAAAAGCAGGACGGCTCAGTGATGAATACATTTCTTTTCAGAGCAGCCGGGTCAAATGAACGATGTTGTGGTTTTTCAGGCTAAATGGTGAAATCATTACAAAAATATATATTTCAGCAGATGTGGTCCAATGGTGTGTGGACATTCATTTAGCTGGAGGTCATTTCCACGTCTCTCCGTGACTCACGTCCAGACGATTTCTCCAAGGAACACCACCTGGACTAATAAGTGCAGTCATAACAGAGCACTCTGTATTCCGATGTGACTCAGCTGCTGGAGCTCAGACAGGGAGAAGTTCATGTACAGTAGATCTGAGTTCAAGAGTAAAGTAGCTGAGCCCAGGAGCCAAGTGCAGCACACACCCTTCTTCACTACGTTTTATTATGTTCCACAAGTTTATATTGCTGAGGTTCAGACACTCACCGGCTTTACACCAGGAGCAGTTTACTTGTCACGGAGAAACCTTTGATGTTTACAAGACAGGAAGGGTTCAACAGAGAAATGCTACAGAGCTGCATTATGGGAAGTGTAGAATCCAGAAGCTTCATCCATACTAGTGATTAAAAGTCAGGGTCGCTCTGACTCCGGCCAGTTTAGATAAAGAGAGAAAATCTGATCACACTCGGCCAAAGAAGGGAGGGAAACCAGACAAACCACAGTCACTCCTCTGATTAACAGGAGCCAAACAACAATCAAACAACAAACACAGACGATGATGATGAGCCAACCAAACTGCAGACTTACAAGAGACTGTAAATAGACCCGACTTATATAGCACTTTTTCTAGTCTTTACAATACTTGCCATATTCAATCAGTCACTCATACATTAATTCACTCACACACAGTCGTACACTGATGGATCAGGGGCATTTCAAGGTTCAGCATCTTGCCCTAGGACACTTTAACCTACAGACTGGAGGAGCCAGTGATTGAACCAGCGACCTTCTGACTAGAGGACGAGCTGCTCTACCTCCTGAGACACAGCTGCTCTGGTGTTGCTGAACTGCACTGCAGTAGACAGCAGTGTTTCTCATACACTGACACTGACACAATATCAACATCGACTGCCACATGTAGATTTTCTATTTCTTTTTTACTATTTCAACACTGATATATCATGACACCACTGAATTCTGCATTTCCCATAACACACCCCAATAATGGTTTTCATTAACCCCTGCCTCCCTGGTAAGAGCCCACCTCTTTCATAGGCTTTCTTCTGAAAGCCTGCAGGCTCTGAGCTCAGAAGGCCACTTTCTGTTAGACCTGACAAACTTGTAAGTAGTCCAGCCCATGATGAGGAAACTGACCTTCATGTGTAAACTCAGTGGAGTTTCCCTTTAAAGTGTGAAACCACATTAAAAGTGGGTCAGTGGACCAGCTTCCCAAAACAAGGAGAGTGAGCTGAAAAATATTTTAAGGCGAAATCTTTTCCATGGCCTGTGGAAAACACGATCACGTCATGAGTCTACAGGGGTTTCATATTAAACTTTCATACAACTTTTAATGACTTTGGTTTTGAGACATATTCAGTTGGAAAAGTGCAGAGCCACAGTGTTATTGTTGGCAAGCATTCAGCAGCCGAGAAGTGACCCAAGCATCGAGTGTATTACACTTTCCTCTGGGCCGGCTCGCTCCTCTAATCTGGTGCTTTTCAGCTCACTCAATAAATATAAAAAGGTTCTAGGTTTTCAACTTTACACCTCTGGAGATGTAAAATATCAGCCTCCCTGTTCGTGGTCAGTTAGCTGTCCTGTCCCGTCCTGTCCTGTCGTTCCTCCAGGCACGTTTTCTAACTAGCAAAAAAGGAGGAATGTTTTGTATCTGTGTGAACACCCTCTAATTTTTTTATGGCCCCTTGTCAAATTAAACGCAGCGTTTAAAATAAAGTTGAAGCAATTTCCTTTCTAGCTGCTGCAGACAACAGATGACAAGACACAGGGGAGAGGAGGAATGGAGGAAAAGCTGAGTCTAATACTAATAAAGTGACAGAGTAAGCCCAGGATATCAGGCTCCAATGAGGAAAGGATATTGGTTGCTTTATGAATACATGGGGAAACAGAGGTAACAGGTTTAATAGCGGATGAAAAGTGACTGGAGTAAAGCTGCTGCAGTCAGATCCTCTGTGATGCTTCACGCTGCCAGAAATGAGGCAGACAGCTCCCATTTAACGCTTCATAACAACAGACTGAACCGAGGAGGAAACGAAGCATCAAGCTCATGTTGACTAACAAGCTTGAGATTTGTCACAGTAACAGTCTCACAGCTGAAATCTGGGTTGGACCACGTCAATTTCACAATTTCAAATAATCAACATTATGTTTTAAAAGTGCATCAGAAGGAAACACAGTAAGCTTGTGACATGATCACATTCCTCAAATTCCACACATCCCACTATTCCCAATTATACCATCAGCACTTTTCCTGGTAAGGTGTGGTGACTTCCTCGAGTTTTCACAGGTTGCCTGGCAACGTCAACGACACATGAGGGAAGAAATAAGCTGTGTCCCAATTCAGGGGCCGCATCCTTCGGAGGCTACATCTGAAAACCGATTGCATTACAGCAGCTATACTGTCGCATTTCAAAGGCTCCTTCAAATGCCTCCTTCTTTTCCTGGACAACCAAGGATCAAACAGGTGGATCCTTCAGCAGCTAACGGTACAACTGTTAAAACCAAGGGCCTTGAAACAAAAAGTTTTAGTGAAGTAAAGTTCCATGTTGTCAAGGTTGCTCTGCAACAGGAGCGAGACAGGGCCACACCTTTGTCGACTGCATCCTCTGAGGGATGCGACCCCTGAATTGGGACACAGCTGTTGTCTGGCACATTACTCCCATGAAACCACAATGTGTCATTTTTTACAAATTACAGATTAACTTATGAAATGATCTAGTGAACAGTGATATCCATCTTCTGACCAGATCACCACAAACTGTCCTCATGGAAACACTATTTTCTAACAAGCATGTCACTCTTTTTTCTCACATTTGTAACTGCAATTGCAGCATTATGCCGATGCAGTGGCGCTGTATCATAATATATCATAATAATCACAATCATAATCAATAAATTGTTTTGTTTTTTGCTCGTCCAGTTTCTTAAAAAGGTTTCAGAATTAACGTTCCATCCCAGTCAGCGATTACATTGAGGCCAGTTCTCGAGGAGGAGGATCATGAGGTGAAACAGTGCAGACATCAGCTGATTATTACAGGCAGTTCAGAAGTAATAATTCATGTTACTGATGAGATGCAGTAAATGTATCAGGTCTGAAAGTAGAGAACAAGCAGTGATAGAGAGGAGCATAAAAATAATCTGAATTTTGGAAGAATGACAATAAATAAAACACAATAACACTGAACATTTTCTCACTCAGCCAATTATGAGCTGAAAAATATCCAGCTGATACAGATATGGTAAAAAATCTAGAGACACAAATAGTGACTTTGTGAATGTGGCCACAGGCTGGAAGGTTTGTTGCAGAGCTGAAAAAGAAAATTTGTTTTATTGTTGACTGATCTGTTGATTATTTTTTCATTAAATGATTTAATTTTGTCTTTAAAATGTCAGGACATTGTGAAAATACACAAGGTGACATCTCATACACTGTTGAGTCTATTATCGTCCTTTGGGAAATTCCTCAGGATTTACTAGAACTTATTTTTGATGTTTGATCAACAGCTGAGTCAGCAGAGGCACAAACCTGCACTGACGACTGTAGCTGACATTACAGGCACAGAACAGAGTGTTTTGTTAACAGGCATCAGATCAGCTAATTTAGCATGTAGCCTACAGACTGACTTGTGCACTGCATTTGTCCTGTTGTATTTGTTCGTCAGTTTATTTAGCAAGATGAAGAGCAACCAGATGTTGACACAGTCCTGTCTCTGAGCTCTGCAGCAGCTCCTTCCTCCTGATGGTTTCTGTTCTGATCTGCAGTGTCAGCTGTGAGACCTGATACAGACAGGTGTGTGTCTGTCCACATCATGTGCAATCAGCTGAGTTTACCACAGGTGGACTCCAGTCAAGCTGTAGAAAAAACATCTCAGAGATGATCCAGAGAAATGGAGGAATCTGAGCTTAAGTGTCTGAATACTTATGTCAATGCGATATTTCAGTTTTTACTTTTGAACTTTTACTCATCTTATCTTGAACTTTGTGTTTTTTGCTCTGTGAGGAGATGCTGTGGACGGTGAGTGACTGTCTCTCATGAGCTCAAGAATCTCTGTGGTGTTTCTAAGCGGTGTGTAAATGTGGTGAGTGAGCACACTGCGTTTCTGTGACAGATGGAGCAAAGAGGAGGCAAACACACATCTTATCTCCCATGATGCCTCAGTGACAGGACATCTGATTGGCAGCTGGCAGGTTTCTAAAGAATCTCTCATATGCATGGTGTGAATGTGTGTCACGTGTGTCCTGTGAGGGTTTGAAAGATGCACAAAGGTGATGTGTAATATCAAAGTCCTGCACTTACAAGTCAAAGACCAGGTAGTGGAATCCCTCCTCTGATATGCTGTCGTGGAGCCGCACTGCGAGAGAGGAGAAAAGACAGTTATTTCAATATGGAAAAAACAGCAGTAGGTAACTGTGTGAAGTATCAACACTTGGTACAACCACAAACTGAGCTCTGAACAGCAGTTTACTATTGTCTGCTGAACCTGGTTTGGCACTGATGTGTCTCAGCATGAGAAACACGCTGGTGCAAGACAACTTTGGTTCAATCCACATTACATGTCATATGTAAATCCACTAACGTGGATTTGTTGCCCTCAGCACGTCACTCCTGATGCTCTATTTTTAGCGCTCAGGTCCTCTGAATGAACATGGATGTCTGGGAGCAAGGCTGTCTCTTTCACTTTGCTGAACAAGAAGAAGATGAAGGCAGCACAGAGGGGAGAACTCAGCCAGCAGTGAGCGTTCAATGAGCCAATTAGCCACACTGCCTAATGGACATGAAACAACATGCTGTGAAGTGACAAAGACACTCATACTGAGACGGGAACAGGAGTACCTGTATCAGCAGCTCAGAGGTGACACACATGCACTGCCTGTTCCAGTCTCTACAGACATTTACAAGCAGCTCATTTCATTCTGACAGAGGCAGCTTTGATTGACAGTTACCAAGGACAACATTTCTATGGAAATATAGACTCAGTATACTGATGGACACTGATACACAGAAACCTCCAGGAAGAATACAATGTGTTATAGTTAGAAAATGTCAATGTAGATATTTTGTCTTTATTACTGTCCTGATATAAAACATTATAGGTCAGCCTTGAGATCAGGTTTAAGATCATACAACACTGGATTTGCTAATCTCCAAGGCAAACAAATCTCTTATTGATCCAACAATAGAGTTGTAACCATCATCACCAATAACTTTGATTAGTTTTGTCTATAAAATATCAGAAACTTGTGAACAATTTCAAATCTGCTCTTTCTGTCCCACCAACAGTCCACACCCAAAGATTTTCATCTTAAAATGATGAACTAAAATTCCTGCCTCATGGTTTTCTGCCTCCAGCAACCAATCAAGATGAAGTTTAAATCCATGACTCATAGAACACATGTAGTGAAAGTGAATTTAATAAAAGGACAGTGGATGTTGCTGCTAAGAGGTCACAAATTCTAAAATGTGGACACTTCACACAAATCTTCAATGTGCGCAGCAACACAGATCTGTACAGTCAGCACAGTTTAAAGGGGACCACCAAGATTGGTGAAGTATGGCCTCACCCTATGTATGGTGAGTTATGGCATTGAATAATGTCCAGAGGTGTTTTTGCATAACATTATGATGTCACAATGAAGTTGACCTTTTGGATATAAAATGGTATCAATTCAACATTTTTTATTTGTGTGAAATAATTGTGTCATAATCAACATATGAATTCTTGAGTTATCTTGAGTTGTCTTTGATCACCAAATTCTAATCACTTCATCTCTGAGTCTAAGTGAATGTTTGTGCCGATTTGAATTAAATTCCCTCATGAAGCTTCTGAGTTAGTGAGTGAAAGCATATTGTCGTCTGTGCAGAGGCATAGAAACCTGGAAAAGCTCAAAATATTTTAAGAAGCTGGTATGAGCAGGTGTGTTTTTGCTTGAAAAGTGGCAAAAAAAAAACCCAACTGAATTATTAAATTCAATTATTGAAACTAATAAACATTCATTTCATAATTAAACTGCACATATCAACAATTCAATGAGACCAACGGAGCCGTGAATCATCTTGACTAAAGTCTCCCATCTCTCTGATATCAATACATGAAGCTGATCACATGAATGATTGTGAATGAGGAGTTCCAGTATCTGCAGCTACACCTGTTATTTCACTGTTTCAGATTCATTTAATCAACATCATGTTTTCCACTGCTCCTCTCATTAGCTGCAGCTTGTGAATGTGTATTTCTCCACTCATCTTCTAGCTGTAGTTATTGTCCGAGTCTGGTTTCTTACTAAGCTAAATGGATTCAATAAGGCAATCAAAAGGCTTCAGATTTGATAATTGGATTCAATACTGGTTTCATTTTTAACTAAATGTCATTGAAACCCAACCCTAGACCAGTCAGGTTATTGGAATGATCCATTACAGTTTAACAACATAATGCAGCTTTGACAGGCAGGTGTCTAATCAGGTCAGCAGGGAACATCTCCTCTGCTACTTCCAATGTTCTCCGTCTGTAGGTAATGGGATCACCGGAGAGAGACTGATTGTACTGTGAATGTGTGTGACTGTATGAATGTGAAAAAGCTCATTCCAATCTCAGTGCTGAAGAGAGGTTAAAGACAGAGCACAGATGACAGATGCAAAGATTAAAACAGGAGAGATGCTCCAGTGGGGATTCTCCCACGTCTTCGTCAGCTTGTCTCCTGACGATCTCAGAGATCTTTCACCGCAGCCACCTTAAAGAAAGGAGGGCTTACCCCGGGCTGGAGGCTGTGTGAATGGAATAGTAATGAGACCGACACCACCTGCTGTCAGCCAGTCGCTGTGAGGGGACATGCTTTGGAAAGCAGAGGGAGTGCGTGCACGTGTGTGAGCAGGTGAGAATCTCTCGTAGTGGAATCAGTAAGTGAAGCGTAAGAAGTCGTAAGAAGCTCAGAGGAGTTCACTGAATTTTATTTATGTAATGGTAGATTTTATTTATGTAATGGTAGAATTGGGTGATGTCCAGAATTTAATATCTCTATACAGTCTGGCCAGATACAATATTATTGCACGGGGTGTTATAATATAATTATATTGTTGTATTTTATGTTTCAGTCTTTTTTATGCCTTCGCATCGGCGACAGCCACCGCCAGAGGCATATTGTTTGGTCAAAGGTCAAAAGTCAAGGTCACGGTGACTTCTCAAAAACATGGTTTTGTGCTTGTGTTTCTGTGGAGGCATACAACCACGAGGCGGTAATTTTAGTTTTAAATAATACATAATTATATTATATTTTATGATGCAAAAATAAAATATTAAATAAAATATTATGAAAATATTGCATATGGGGGAAATATCATAATTTTTGATAATACAAAATATTGGCCCAAGCCTACGATCTATTCCAGAAGTATTAAATTAAAATTGAAAAAGGTAATAGTAAAATTATATAATATAACAATTATTTTAAAATAATAATAGTACCTTCTCTATATAATAATATAATCATAACTATATGTTCTTTTAGCATTTCATAGAAAATAACTGGAAAATTATTTTGAAATTTTAATTTTGAAAAATTATAACTTAGTGCTTAATCTTACAAAATGAAATAAAACGTGTAGCGTGAGTCTCCATTTGTCAGTCAGTGTCAACTGATCAGTTTCAACACGTTCTTTTCTCCGTCTTTCCCTCCTCTATGCCACTTATGGTATCTCTCACTGTGTGTGTGTGTGTGTGTGTGTGTGTGTGTGTGTGTGGGTGTGGGTGTGTGTGTGTGTCTCACACTCACTGACTCCAGTTGCAATAATTGGCTGAGTAGCATCAAGTGACCAGTGCAATAAAGGCTTGCAAAGCTGCTCCGGTTAAAATAGAAACGCTTGTCAAAGTGACATAATTCTCAATAATAGGTTATGTGTCTGGCTCCGTTCCGCCTGTTAGTGACCTCTGATCCATTCTATCACTGTTTTGCTATGTTTTAAAAGAAAACTACATTTATTACAGACTTGGGTTTATTTGTGTAGCTTGACCATTCACTAAAGCTCTCCTCTGAACAGAGATTGTCCAGTCATCACCTAACAACCATAACTACGCATGGGCGACCTCTCCAGCTTTAGTTGAAGCGCATTAGGGTGTAGTAAGAGCATTACTCTGTGTCTTCTAAGGTGTCATTGTTTAGCCTTTCCAAAAGCAAAAATACAAGAGTAAAAGTGCAATGTTGTTAACATTAGCATGTCGGGCTAATTAGCTGAGTAGGCTAACCTAGCTGCACACTGAAGTACGAGAACCTTTCAGTTTCTTTTTTTCCTTGTCTTATACAGGGATCATCAGATGTGAGGATGATGACTTTTTGATGGGACCTGTCAGATATACTGTAATAGAGCACAATACCTTGTCGACATGGAGCGTTTACAGTTTAAGACCCTTTTACAGCGCCCTTCTTTTAAAATGAGACATCTGGAAACATTAAACAGTCTGGAAACAACGTTTTCAAACACCTGAGGAAGAAACTATAGCTTCATATAGCTAAAATGAAATGCCTGCTTTTTTCTACCTCTGCCTGAAATCAATCAATTCATATCTGCAGTTTCCAACTCTAAATACATTTGAATTTTATTGGCACCAATTTTCTGTTTACTTGACAATTCAAAATGGATGCAACAAAAAACAAAAGTTTATTCTTCAACTACAATGTTGTTATTTAAACAACTTAACCATAAAGTTCAGATTATGTTTTTTGGCACTGGGTGATGTCTCATTACTCTCAAATATCAGTGTCAATATCATACTTCAGAATCAGCTGAACTCTGAATAGTTCTCTCCTCATGTACTGTGTCAAACAACTGGACCCCATGTGAAAGAGTTCCTATTTAAAGAGCTCTTTCGTGTTGGCTGTTAACTAACCACCTATTAACACTGCCTCTGTCAAAAATAAATTACTATGTTGCACTGAAATTAAGCTTTGGTTTAGTTGTGCTAATAGACATGGAAACCCAAACCAAATAGCCCCCTGTCACCCATTCATCTGTCAGTGCCACCCACTCATCTCTCATCTTCACTAAAAGAAAAGGGACTGAGGTGGCCTCTGTGTGTGCATGCGCTCGGGAAGGGGGGAGGGAGCCAATGTATGCAGATGTGATCTATTTGTAGATACGGCCAATGCACAAGCCAGAGCGCAGGATCATGTAAATACACTAACCACAACAACGTAGCTTCAGGCAGAACTCATGCGTTTATATTTACAGTTAACAATCTCTACGCTCTCTTGTGTGCAGTGTTCTCCCAGCCCCCCACCCCCACCCCACACAAACGTACGCAAACAAACATCCTTCACATCTTAACGGTGAGCTTTAATAATACAGTAGGCTACATGTGTAGGTCTATGCTGTTATAAATTATTCACTGGGCGCATGTGTGATAGATGTAGGTTAGCCTACTTTGACAGCCATAAGAGGATCTGCAACCTATCTGCATGTGTGTGTGTGTGTGTGTGTGTGTGTGTGTGTGTGTGTGTGTGTGTGTGTGTGTGTGTGTGTGTGTGTGTGTGTGTGTGTGTGTGTGTGTGTGTGTGTGTGTGTGTGTGTGTGTGTTGTGTGTGTGTGTGTGTTGACAAGACCTGCCCAAACCAGCAATACTTTCTAGCAAGCTTAACACAACCCTGCCTGTGGGTTCTGGGTCGACCTGCACATCACTTACTGGCCTGAGCACGAGGAGCTCTCCTTCTGTTACACCTTGACCTAACAGCCATAGGAGAACAAGCTTCGCCTTCTCTGGGCTGGCAGAGAGAGAGAGTAGTCCTCCTGCCTCTACAAAACCCATACTGGTCAGGTTAGGTGCAAACGTAAACATATGTGCAAAAATAAATGTATTAATTTAACCCCTGTATGATGGAATGTATCGGACTGGTTACAGTAGCACCTTGCCAGATACTGCTGTGTTGCAGTCTGGCTTTGTATTGACACGCCCACTCTGTCGTCAAACTGACCTCATTCGAATGAATGAGGGGGCTGCACTTCTTCATGCAGAAGTCATACATGCAGAAGGTGCTTGTGAACGCAGCCTCGGAGTCAGGGTTAGGGACCATGTCAGGGAATGAATCTAAGTTAATGAGGCAGATTTTTCCCTTTAAATACTTTTTTCCCCCAATAGAACTGAGGGTCTTAGTATAGATGATGTCATATGTTATTGTCATTGTGATTTGGACTTGACGAGGCACTGCAATGTCTCCAAAGTGATAAAACATGTGTGTGCTATGTGGGCAGAATGTGGTTAAAAATGCTACTTCTTAATATGGAGAAAGACACTTATGCATACTATATACATACAGTATATGTACAGTATACAGCATGTTTTCAAAAGCACTTAGGAGGAAAATGTATAAATATTAAATGTATGTCTACATCTATGGAGCCTCTCATGGCCATCCTTTGTATGTTTTCAACCACATATACAATCTATCAAACACACCCGTATGACATGAGGGGAAAGACAGACAGAGCTGAATGGGAGAACTAGTTACCGATGTTGGGATGCTTGAGCAGGCGGCAGATCCTGGCCTCTCTCTCCAACTTCTGATGATCTGTGGAGACAAAAAGACAACACATCTGTCACATCTGTCTGCTCAAGCTGCCTGCTGTTCTTCAAACCTCTCTACAGAGTTTCCACATATTAAACAGCACCCGCCTCTCCCTCCTGCTGGGATCAAATGAGCAGAAAAAACCAACAGTCATAAGTTATTACTCTGCACTGAGGCCAGGAGATGAATTTGAGGAAAACTGGCACGTCTCCAGTATTACTGCTCATACAGCACGTGTTAGCTCTTCAAACCTACTATAAGACAATTCCATGATCTTTTAAAGCTTGTTCATACAAATCCTTCTTTCGACACACAGTAGAACAATTAGAATGGCATCGGAACATGACTGAATGATAAAGTGGAGGTTTATCTTCCACAGGTTGTAAGTAGAGACCATACAGTAAGGAACAAATACATTTAAATACAATTTTAAAAAGGTCCATACAGTCTAAAAGGTAGATGTCCATGTGTTGTTTGATTATAAAGCAGGTCTAGGTTCTATAGTAATACTGTCAAAGTATCAAAGTGCTCAATCCACAGAGAAATGCACACAGCCTGTATTCAGACACTGGACCCCATCATCCAGCCTTGCAGGATTTGGTTGAGAAGCCTGAGAGAAGAGATGTAAAACTACACTGAGATGGTTTTTGGTTCTTAAAACCACAAATATAACTTCTTATGGATCAACACTTCAAATAAAACACAGAAGAGGAGTGTCAAATATGAGACCTTTAAATTGTCAGTGTAAATGTCAGTGTCTATCTTTGTGAAGGAAATCCCAGATGTGTTGCCACATCCCAACCAACCACTAGATTTTCATATATAGTAAGGTCTACAAGTTGTTTAACCCAGGTCCTGTATTTGATCACCGTGGATAGGCTTTGTTATTTCCAACCTGAGAGGATGTGAAGTATGTAAATGTTAACATCCACTTATGGGAATTTGCTCTTTAGAGGAGTACACTCACTCACTGAATGGTTTCCATCACAGGCTCTATCTTCTGCCAACGATAAATCACTGTTATTTTTACTGCCAGATATGAGTCCTTGCTAAAAACAATGGCGCATTTCCTCACCATGAGGATGTCAATGTCTAGGTGAGGTCTATTGAGGATAGTCTTTGCAGGGAGTTCCTATCATAGACATTTATGTAAGTAAAATCTCCAAAAGAACAACATTTCCTGATGTGCACATGAGACTGAATCTAAAATGTTTTTTATCTGAACTTTGATTTTACTTTTGCTTTTCATTGCGTAACCACCACAACAACATCAAGGTTACAGTGGCATCTTGAAATGAAGCAGATGTGGATTTATCAAGAATCACTTTTACACCAGCAATAATAAGACCAAAGACAGGATACAATGGAGAACTAAACTGTGAGCAGCTCAGACATTTAAGAGGGGTCACTGGGGTCATCTCCAATTCACCTGATTTGCTATTCAAATGAAGAGGCTTTGAGGATGTTGAATTAATGGAGACTAAGTTACCCAAGAGACTGTTGAATATTTAATAAAAGCTCTTGTTAAAGTACGTATTATTCACCATTGTGGATCATAACTGTGTTCGACACGGTCATATTAAGAGGATTTTCTATGTAGGTGGAGCTAAGGTGACAGGCGGAGCTCATGGGTGTAGGAGGGGATGATACTGCCTTAAAATAATGTGATAATACTGTAAATGCATAATAAATATTACATTGGTTTGAGGTAGAAATTATCATTCAGAACCAAAGTAAGTAGGTGATTTTGGTAAAATTGAAATACCTCAACTGCTGGATGGACCGCCATGAAATATTTTTGACTTTCTTGGTCCCCAGAAAATGAATCCTGTTGACTTTCATGATGCACTGACTTTATAATATGATCATATTATTGTATTTTATGTAATGTGATTGCTGGTGGTGCAGCGGTTAAACATACTGTTGGTGGTGCACTGTCTGGGAATAACTTGACATGTTATTGTTTCTTCTATCATTTTCATCCTGCTTGTATTTTGTGACTTTATCTGTTATTTCATACATTTGTCTTTGTAGACATACATTGCATATGTTTGCCTTCTATTGTTTTATTTCCTTTAGTCTATACAGCACTTTTAATATTCAAAAAGAGTTTTAAAATAACAAAGTTTCATTATTATTATTAAAGTAATTTCCCACTGACCATTCCAGTTCATGTAGGTCTGCAGTGTTGCAATGTGCCTACAAGGGGGAGCTGTGTGAGTGACAGATGCAGTGAAGACTGACGAAGAAAGAAGACAAGGAAGGAAAAGAGGGAGAGAGACAGTGTGTGTTTATGTGTATGTGTTGAGTTGGGGGTAGGGGTGGGGGTGAGGTTTCTTCCTGTGTCTGAAACAGTTTTTGTTAAATTGGGCGTGGTTCCTGTTAGTTCTCCACTGTCACATATAATGTAGGTCACTTCTACATTAAAATGACACGGGAATTGTCAGGAAGCTGTAAATGGAACACAACTCCATCCTCAGCACAGAATAAGAAATGGTCAACTGCCCTGACAAATCATAAACTGGACTAACAGACCAATCAAAATGCTGCGTTCTCCAATAAGCAGTGAGTGCATCTTCAACCAGCACCAACGGAAAGTGTCTCTGCTCCTTGACGACCTGTCATGGTCCCAACCAGATGTCATGACACCGTCTCCAATCGCACCTCAGTTACAAGTGTCTAATCCTAATCGAACCAATGGGATGCGCTTTTACAGGGGCTGTAATCCTCATGGTCAACGGCCACTTCTCCCCCTTCCTCCACATCATCCTTTTCATCCGATGCATGGCACGCTGCTAATCTGTGACATAACAGGATTTACAGCATGAGTGGTGCCTCGCTCACCATCTCAACCACAGACACTGGTCTGTCATTTCCTTCCTTTTCACTGTCTTTATCATCAAGTTACTGTATGTTATCCGTCGATTAGAGTAGCCTTGACTATTATAAGAGACAAAGAGCAGTTCCTCTTACAATCATTCTCAGACAAGTACTTAACAAAAAGCTCAAGAGTATTAAAAACTTCCAACTACTGAAAGCTGACACTTCAGCTGACACTGAATTTTGTTTTCTTGTCTGCTTATTTTTTACTGAGAAATTTTTCTGCTTTTAAACCAATATCGTTGAGTTTTTCTTATTATTATAAACATTCAACATTTAAGAACTTTGACATCCTTTGATAAATCAAAAGAAGGATGTTATAGAAAAACATGTTTATATTGCTTAAAGTATGGTATCAAAAGAGTAGTGTTGCTACTGAAAGTATATCTGCACTAAGGTTTGATAGATTGCAGCAGGTAGCCATATTAATATACGAGTTATGAAAGAAATGAAAGTATGCTAATATTCATTTCTTTTTGCATGCTGAGCACATAAAGTTTTTCTTTACAGGCTTGTGACCAAAATATGTGCTGGACTAAAGTAGAAAAATAAACTTGTCAGTGTGGACAAATTAAGTCAGGGAACTATGTCAAGCACATCTTTTTATTTTGCACCTTCATTTGACCAATCAGCCGACATACACCTACACAGATGCATCTGCATTAAACTAATAGACATTATTAATGCAATGTGAGAAATGCATCTTTCTCTATGATGAAGAGTCAGGTTTGAATGCAACTGAGCCTCCAAAAGCAATTAACCAACAAAGCTGTTATTCCTATTCATGACGCCAGTCTGGGTGAGCACCTGTCAACCGTGTCACAATGTTTTTTCACCATCTTCTTCCTCAGTGGTAAGATTCATGTCCGGGGTTAGTAGGTACCACATGTAGGGCCCTCACACACAGGGTGCAGGCATTTGATAAACTTGCACAAATATCAACTTATTCATTTACATGTAGGATTGCAGTGCTGTGAGTCAAGTAGCATGTCGACTTAAAATAAGCCTGAAATCGAAACTTGGATTTGCTTCAGTTTCTTCGTTCTCTTTCTTTGACTCAGACATGAGTCAAATAAGAGTCGTGTTGTTCTCTATTTTCACTTAATGTACTTCCTCTCAAACCACAAATAACTAAAGCTGCAAAGCTATGCATTAAACTCTATGTAATGGTGCTCAGATTTGATATATTCCTTTGTCCTCAGCGGTCATATGTTTAAGGTTTTAGACGTATAAGACGTATAGTCGTTTACAAACACTGTTTATTGCTGATATTAAGTCTCAGTCTTCACACATCATTCCACTTCACCACAGCACAGAAAGCACTTTGACCCCTTCTTGTTTCTCAATCATGAATCCAAGTCATTGGTGTGATTCACTCCGGAGCTGGCCCATTTAGAAAACCCAGATGAGCTCCCGAACATCGTCATCAGGCCGCAACAAAACCAGGACAGCAGCTATTTTCAATGCAGCCGACTGATCAACTGAGCTGCCGCCACAGTCCTGTAAAGCAGCACATCTGGTTCCTCATCCAGAGTCTGCAGCTACAGTCACTTTAAAAAATAATCCCCCAATGTGCCCACACAGTCATTACTGTCACATACTCATCTCAGAGCAAACAAATTATCAGCAGTGCTGCCATCACTTCACTTAAAACTGGAGGGAAAAGTGAAAACACATTCTTTCAAGCGAACAATCTTTGAAGACCAAGTATAAAAAGATCTGTCATCCTCACCATTTTCACCTGCTGTTATTAAACTAATAGGTGAGTAATGGAGTTTGGTGCCAAGAGACAGAGAAAAGTGAATGTGATGCAAAATGAAAGAAAAACAGGAGAAACATCCGCAGCACAGCACACTGCCTACAAACACATCCTCATGATGTTTCTTTCCTTGCTCCCACAGGCAAACACCCCGACTCTAATTTCCTGGCTCTCATTTTTTACAGGTTTACCCCAGGGGACTGAGGTGATGTCAGGGTCAACAGTTTAAGTCAACAGGGATGCAGAAAAAGCAGGAGAGGGAGGGCAGAGGACAGAAAGGGTGACAAAAGGTTCTGGCAGATGTTCAGTTTTATAGTCTAAATGTTTTCAGTCGTCTGATGTATCTTTAATGAGTTTTCTCTTA